GGGGACTTGATAATATGGGTAAATGTAGTAACCACATTGTTTTTTCATGTGAAACCTTCATAAGAGTGTATATCAATCATACCTTAATAAAAAATTAGAAAAAAGAAAGACCCATAGTGAGGGGGAGAAATCAATAGAAAACAGACCCATGAATATGATAGAATTAGTAAAGCATCAAGAAGATAAGAGCAAAGATCGCATAAATTAAGTAAAGATATGAACATATAAAAAGGAGAAATTCAACTTTCAGAAGAAAAATACATACCTGTGATGAAAAATAGATTGGGTGGGTTTAACAACATTACACATTGCAGGAGAAGAAATTCATGAACTTGAACAAATAGCAGTAGAAACATTCCATGATAGTCTGTGGTGGGTGGGCAGGGGGGAGGGAGGGGGAGTGCTGGAAAAAACCAACAACGCAGACCTTCAGTGAGCTGTGGGACGCCTTCACACAGCCTAATCTAACTTGAAATTTGAGTCCCCAAAGGAGAGGGGAGAAAGTATTTGAAGAAATAATGACTGAAACTTCCCCAAATCGGTAAACACTGCAAACCCACAGATCCGAGGTCAACCACTCCAAAGCACAAGAACATGAAGAAAACACCCAATCACATCCTAAATCACTTAAAATTAGCAACAGAGCAAAAGTATTAAAAGCAGAACACAAATGAAGATGCATAAGATAGAAGAACAAAAATGAGGGTGACAGATTTCTCATGAGAAGCAATGCAAGCAAGGAAACAATGGAGAAACATCTTTGCTGCAAGAGAAAGTCCAGACTAGAATTCTATTCGAGGGAAAATACAAAGGTGAGGGCGAAATGAAGGCGCTGCTCGTACATGAGCAAAGCTGACAGAAGCCACAGCAGCAGCTGAGAGCTGCGAGAGGGTTTGAGCAGGGTTCTCTGGAGAAGGAATATGATGGAGAAGAAGCTGAATCCTCGCCAGGGTTTCTCGGCCGCAGCCCCACCGACATTCGGGGCCAGGTTTGCTGTGTGGCGTCCTGTGCTCTGTAGGATTAGTAGCATACACGGCCTCTACTCACTGGATCCCAGAAGCACCTACAACCCAATTTTGACAATTAAAATAGCCTCCATTGTCAAAATACAAATTACTCCCAGTTGAGAAACACTGTATTTGATGGATGTTTTTTCATATTTTTCATCTTATGATTTTCAGCAATAATCTGAGAGAATTCTCATGTTATGTTCGGGCATTTAGCTCACTGACTGACATTTTGTGCCTATTCTGTTCAGCCCATCTATTGATTTTCTTTAATGGACTTTAGTCTTGAGACCAGTTTTGGGTTCACAGCAAAACGGAACTTAAAAGGGAGTTTTCATATACCCCAGTACCCTACATGGACAACCTCCCCAACTGTTGATATCCCACAAATGTAACATTCCTTGCAATTGATAAACCTACACTGACACATCATTGTCACCCAAAGTCCACAGTTTACATTGAGGGCCATTCTTGGTGTTGTACATTATAGAGGTTTTCACAGCTGTATAATGAGTGACATTTATCCATTATAATAGCATCATTTAAAACAGTTTTACTGAACTAAAAATCCTGTGTTCTGCCTGTTCATCCTTCCCTCAGCCCTGGCACCTCTACTGAGTTTTAAAACATGTTATTTTCATCCAATGTTTTTTCATTGTTCTTGTTTCACAACCGACTTCTAAAAATATAAAATATCTACTTACCTCCTGGTAGATCTCTCCTCTATTAAAGGCAATAACAGCTTTATTACCTTTTCCCCTTAGGTATGAGTTCTGCTTGTATTGCTAGCTTATTTTCATGAAGACAGCATTCCTCAAAGGTCTGGTTTTTACTGGGTGCTCATCTTTGTAATGAAGACATCCTGTGAGGTCATTTGCTGTGTCTGTTTGGCCAGCCCACTGGATAGTGGTGTTGCTAGTGTGTGTTGCACCGTACTCTGCTTTCAGCGGGAGCAGAGGAAACACAAAATGACCACTCAGCATTTGATCCTCTGTATGAAGGTTTCTCTTCATCTGGGTGTCACCAGACATGTGGAGCTCTGTCTGGTCTCTTACTCCACGGCTACAGTCTATATTCAGCTGGAAACACAAACCCCTCTAATTGCTGCCTAATTGGTCCAACTCGTGCTTGGGATGAGCCACCTTGTCAGTTGTCCCTGCCCGCTCCAGCTCCCATCCACACAGCCTTCCATACAGATTGAGAGGACACCTGCCCCCTACTTTTCAGTCCCCACCCACCTTTGCAAGTAATCTCATGCCCTTTCATCGCCTGCAGGATTTAGAACCTTCTTCCTCTCTTACTTTCAGTTTCGTCCTTAGCATAAGCATGGTCTGTCTCTAAAACAGTTCGTGGTGCTCTTGTGCCCCTTTTTAGCTCGTCTCAACCTCTGAAAAGGGTTGACTACATTCTCCCCCGCGGTAGATGCCCAGGCTTCCTCTCACGTGCACTTCACACTGTCGTCTATCTATGGACATTCTTCCCGAATTCCCTTTCTTTTCCTCTTTTGGCTATTCTTGCTCCTGTGTGTCTTATTTGTTTCTTAAATGTTGGTGTGTCCTTTGCTATTGTCTGCCTTTGGTAAGAAATGAGCTCAGTTTGCAAGCAAGAATGAAAGGAAATAAAGAATCCAGAAGTGTGGAGACTTGCGGTGCTGGGAACAGCTTCCAGACCCCAACAGATCAAACTGAGGAGGTCTACAAAAAGCCAATTAAAACCAGCTTCTTGGCAAAGCATCCTGAATTCAAATTCTGGCTCCATCACTACCCATGTAACTTGGGCAAGATGCTGAACTTTTCTGTATCTTCGTTTCATATATAAAATGAGGATGGCAGTACCCACCGGCAAGGGTGTTATCACGATTAAATTAGTATAAGAACGGTGCTTAGGACCTGGTGATCATTGCTTGGAACACGCGCCGGGCTCTGCTAACCTTAGAAATTGTTATGCCAAAAAGGCAAGGGATGGTCTGGCTTAATTCAAGAATCTCCGCCCTCTCTTACGAGTTTCACAACGGACGCGTTACGGCTGGCAGCATACAAGAAAAGTAGGCGTGGCCAAAGCTCACCCAGCAGCCTCCCCGCCGCGCTCCATTCCCGGGCAAAGGCACAGCCATCCGGGCCACCCGTGAGTCCCCGCTTCCTCGCCTCCCTCGGGCCCCACCCTCAGGGCCCCGCTCCTGCCCACGGACATCCTCGCCCCAACCTTTGAGTTCGTCTGTCCTGCGCGTCTCTGCTCGCGGTTCTCCATCTCCGGTCTGCAGCCCAGACCCCTCAAGCCCACCCCGTAGTGCAGAGGGTCGGGCCGCACGCAGGGCCCACCGCGCGCTCCGGGCGCGGCCCCGGCTGCGTCCGTGTCCCGAGCCCCGGAGGACCCAACGGTGCCCGCTCTGCCTGCGCCCAGCAGGCACCCGCCTGCCTCGGAGCCTCGGGGCTCCTGGAGGGCTCAGGTGGCGAGCGCAGGAAGGACACCGGCCGAGCCGCGGTGGCTGGGACCCCGGGCCAATCACCAACCAGAGCGCCGCGCGGACTCCGGGCAGCCAGCGAGGGGGCGGGGCCGCCCATGGCCAAGCCCCCTGTGGCGCCCCCGCGACGCCCCCGCTTGGCCACCTGACCGTGCGCAGCCAATTAGCAGCCTGCGGCCCGCCGAAGCGCGGGGATTGGCCGGGAGCACACAACTCAGCCAATCCGGACGCGGCCCGGGCTTTGAGGCCTGACCCCTCTTGAGAGGCCCCGGGGCGGCGCTGTGGGGCACGTCGGACGCCCGGTGGTTGGGGCGGCGCGTGCAGCGGTGGGCCGCAGCCGGGTGCGAAGGGTCGGGATGGAAGCGGCTGGGGCGACGAGCAGGGACGCACTGGGGCGCGCGGCAGGTCCGCCCAGCGGCAATGGAGAGGAGAGCCCGCCTGAGAGGTGCGCGCCGGGACGGGAAGAAAGCCGCGGGCGCCCTCCTCCCGGAAGCCCTCCAGGCTCCGCGGGGCGAAGGGTCTGGGAGGCCCGCCGGCGGAGGTGGGGCTTCGGCCGCCGGGGGTTGCTCCCGGGGGCAGAGTCCCGTGCGGGGTGCCGCGCCGGCGGGCTGTGGCGCCGCGAGAGAGCGGGCGGCGGGCGGATGCAGGCGGGGCCCGACACCCGGCGCTCGAGTCCGGGGAGGGAGCGCCCGGGCAGCGTGCCCGAGGCAGAGGAGCGCGGCGGGCGGAGCCGGGAAGGGCCGGCGCACCCCAGACGCTGGGCCCCGGAGGTGTGAGCGGGGTGCCGTGGTCCAGCTGTGGCTTAAGGCGCCCGGCCGTGGTGCGGAGAGCCGGGCGGGTGCGGGACCGGAGCGCGCGGGGGAACGAGTCGGGCGCCTGACAGTGCAGGCGGGAGGCGGTGCGGGCGTGGCGGCGGCCGTGGTGCCAGGGCGGGGCGGACGTGCCCACACACACCCCGGGGCCCGCCGCGCCGCCGCGGGGCGGCAGCTGGGGAGGGAGCGAGGGGGATGCCGCCCCGGCCGTTGGCCCGCGCGCCGCTGGGGCAGGGGGCGAAGACGGGGCGCTCGTCCCGCCACACCGCTCCTTCGGCCGGCGGGAACCGCTGCCCCCGGGGGCGGGGCGGGGCAGTACGCATTTTCCAGCCTGTGGGTCTTCACCCTCCAGCCCTGGAATGTGTTAAGTACCTATTTTCAATCCTGTCTACCCGAATATGAGGGATAGTATGTGTGCCTTATAATTTGGGTCCGGGGCATTTATGTCACTAAACATTCTACTTTGCTTGGGACAGAGGCAAAGCAGCCAGGAAATGTGCTTTAGGGAGATTGCAAAGGAGATTCTTCACGGGGCCTTTTTATTTTTTAGTTATTAATCTAAGAGTTTAGTTTTCCCATCTAATACTGATCCAACGTTAAGGGAGTAGCCGAGTAACCTGTGAAGTGTGAATCTGAAACTCAAGCCATAAATCAGCCCAAACAGCAGATTGTAAAACTTCCGACACTCCTCGTTTGAGAAATACTTTCCGGAAGTGAGAGCAGAGTCCTGGACGCACGCAGATTTAAGTCACAGCAGGACCAGGACATTCCTAATACAGGAGAGGCCAAGGGTGGCTCTGACCAAATTTCCCAAAGCCTGTACCTGTCAGGTGACTTTGGACAGTTTATAAAGATGCTGCATTAAAGCATTCTTATATGGTTTAAGAAAACTATGTTTTAACAGCCTTGGTTGGTAGTTGTGTTTGAATTTTCATGTGGATCAGTTTAAACACTTTTGTTAATTTAAAAATAGGTAATGTATCAGGCAGGATTACCTACTGTATATATTTATGGGAGTTTCTGCAGGTTCTGATATTGGTTAAAAAAAAAAAAAATACACAGATACATTTACTTAACGATGGACCTTTCAGGGAATGTGCATTTTCTGTGGCATTTACTTTGTCATCTTATAAATCCAGCCCCTGCTGTGTGCCAGCCGTTGTTCTCAGGGTTGGCCACAGGGCTCAGGGAAACTGGCAAAGCGGGAACCATCGTTTTATTACTTCATATTGAGGCAGTCGACAAGGAACAAGCCCAGTGGGTCAGATGATAAGTGCCAGAGAAGCAGGTGGGAGGGGGACCCGGAGCGCTGGGGGAGGGAGCGGGTGGCTGCAGTTTTATTTAGAGCAGCAGTGAACCTCCCAGGAAGGACAAGCCAGAGCGAAGACTTAAAACGAACGGTGGGGGCAGGGTCATTCTAGGCAAAGAAACCCGAGCCAGGGAGGAGAGGCCCGCCTGCTCCCCACCTAGAAGGCCCGGGGGCGGGGCGGGGTGTAGGGGGAGAGGGGAGGGGAGTGCCCCCAGACCCCCAGCCACCCTGCCATCAAAGAAACTACTGGGAAATGGAGAACTGCTGGTGACGTTAAAGCCTGTGGGAGGTGCGGCTCCCCAGGTGTGCGGGCTTCCCGTCCTGCCCCTCCTGGCCGATTGGTCCTTTGTAGCAGGTAGGCAGTCCAGGCATGGTGGGGCACCTACCTTACCAAGGGGAAGAAGTTTTGAAAATCTAAATGCACAGTCTCCTATCATTTGTAAAGGAAACTTACAAATACTAGATTACTGGAAATGGTATGTACATTTTCCATAAGTAATGAAGATTTTGGACAGTTCCAAGGGCAGTTTGTGGAAGGCTGCAGTTTTTCTGCAGGGAACACCCTGCCCTGGACATCATTTGCTCCTGTTGATGTGCTCAACAAAGTGCGTCTGTGTTTCCATATTCCTTCTCCTTTTCCTTAACAGGCTCCTCTTTGTCTCCCTTCCAGCAGGAAAGTTTATATGGATTATAACGCTACCACCCCTCTGGAGCCAGAAGTTATCCAGGCCATGACCGAGGCCATGTGGGAAGCTTGGGGAAATCCCAGCAGTCCTTACCTGGCAGGTAATTCTCCACAGATGGGAGATAAAAGGCAGAGGCGCCTTAGAGAAATTGTGTGAAATCTTGGTTTTGAGTAGATTCTCTGTTCACTGCAGATCTTGAGCTGTGATGTGCAGTAGGTTTTTTTCTAAGACATCCACATTTGTACCTGAGCCTTGTTCATACCATAATCTTTCATCTTTAATATCCTCTCCTGTCCCCCTTGCCAGATGGAAAAGATGTCTCATTAGCTTAATGAGTTATCGGTAATAACTGTACCTGTTAAAATCCTTTCATGTGTCTGTCTCAGTTGATCCTTACAAAATTTGCAAATAAATCTTTTCAGTCATCAAGATCCCATGTAGTCCTGACCTTTTTTTTTTAATGGAAGTTACTTGTAAATTCTTTTGTTATAATATTCTTGTTTCTCATTTATTCTTGTTTCAATTTAGAGAATTGGAGGTTTGGGAAAATAATTTGCTTCAAATCAGTAGTTATATAGTAGAATTAGGTTTTTCAGATGGTGAGCTAAGGTCCTACCTTTCTTGATGTTTATCAAGAGTGACTAACTGAGATAAGCTATCTTAACTGTGGATCGTGATGAACTAAAATCGCTTTCGGGCAGACTAGTGCCGAGCCCTGGCCTCAGTGATGCGTGTGTGCAGCATCCCGGCTGTCCTGGAATACCCATTTGCTTATGCTTCACAACCTGGTAACTAAGAGCTTTCTCAAAATCAGGTACTAGTCATTCATTAGCTCACTGCTGACTCATTCAGTTCATGTCTTCTGGCTGATCTGGACATCGCCTTGTATCTCATCATTCCTCTTGGACTTTCTGATACATTAACCTTGAGAATGTGGAAAACTGTTAAATGGTAATAAGAAGCATTCAGCATGAAGACGTGGAGGAATGACCCTTAGGGAGCATAAACCTTCTGGGCCCGACAAGCCCGAACCACACCTAAAAAATGCAGTGTAATTCACCACCTGTTGATGCTCCCGGTAGAGATGCAACGAAGGAGAAAGGGAGAGGGGGAGGGAGGAAGGGCAATCACCTTTATGATAGGATGATTTAATTACTTTTACAATATTATTAATTAATATAATGCCCTTGGGGGGAGTTTTTATTTTAAGGAAAATGTCAAGGACGTTTAGAAATGTTTAGATGTTTTAGAAAATGTTGAGGAAGAGATTAGGTACCCAAAATGTTCATCACAGCCTTGGTTATAAGAGTAAAAAGCTGGAAGCAACCTCAGTGTCCATCGGTCTGGGACTGAGGACGTGAAGTATGCAGAAGCCCTGGCGCGGGTTCCGGACCTGCTAGGGCCGTGCTGTGGGCTGGAGCTTTGATCTGGGGGGCAGGTAGCGGTTCACGTGGGGAAGGCGTGCTATGACTCAGGGTGGGCAATGTGCTGGTTTGTTTGTTTTCCCCATCTGCCCTCCAAAGAAAAAGTGTGTGTGGAGCAAGTGTGGGAAAATGTATTGTATAGTTTTGCTGTGAGAGACAGAAACCCCCAAATAACAGGAGCACGAACAGCTTGAAGTTCCTTTTCTCGCCCAGTCTAGGGCCACGTGGTCACACAGCCATTGCCAGGGGGCCCAGGCCCCTCCACCTCATCTGCCCTCACCGTGCACTTACCCTGTGGTCAGGACGGCTGCTCCAGCTCCCATCATGCCAGCAGGCCCGCCCGTGGGAGGGGGAGGGAGAGGGAGGCCTGCGTCCATCACGTGACACTTCTGGAAGTTGCATGTACCACCTTGGCTTATAACGTATTGCTGGACATTGGTCCCGTGGCCCTGGGGGCATGCCAGTCGCAGTGGAAGTTGGGAAATGGGTCTTAATTCTTAAGTAATCTGAGAACTCCTTAATCCAGATGTGGTCTTGATTCAGCTGTGTGCCAGCTGAAACGGCCCCATGGTAGGAAGCATGGCAGAGATGACAGCCGTCAGCCCCAGCCCGGGTGGGATGTCCACCAACACTTCTGCCTAAGTTAGCTTTGTTGGGGGGGGATTGTGGAAGTTTTGACTATTTTCTTTTTGTTTCCTGGTTTTTAATCTTTCTGTAACTGTCATGCATAGAGTAATGAAAACAGAAGTTTACTAAAGCTGCGTTTATGGAGACATCTCTTCAAAGCTTTGTTCTTACTTTGAAGTGATAACAAATATATGCCCTCACGTCACGTCACGTTGTCCTCAGTCACTGCGAGTGCCCTTTGGTGTGGACAATGACAGAGAAGGTGGCATTCAGTTTGTCCCGAGAGTTAGATTTTTGGTGCTTTTGCGTGCACCCCACTTCTGTTAGTGATGACGATGACGTGTAAGGTGGTAGGGACTACAGCTCCAGGTTTTCAGTTGGGGGCACCCACTCGGAGGGGTCAAGTGGCACCCAGTGTCCTCGGGCTGGTCCCTGGGTGAAGCCAAATCCTTTAGCTCTGGGTTCTGGGCTTCTCCTGCCACAACACCTTGCCGTGTCGGTGTGTCCCAAGGCCTGCATAGTAGGTCTGATGCTCTCGGGGCCGCCCCTGCCTCGGGAGGGGGTCATGGCTTAATGAGACTTGGACTCACCTCCAAGGACTAGAGTCCTGCTTGATGACATGTAAAACCAGACCTGCGTGGGTGCTTCAGCTCAGTCACTCACTCAGCATGTGAGCGTGTGGTCACTCTGCCTGGGGACACAGCAGCAGAGACAGTGGGACCTCCATTCTCATGGCGGGGACAGGGCAGAGAGGGGGACAGCCAGTGGACGCATGCACATATGTTACATGAGAAAAGGTCCCTTGGGTAACTGTCGAGCAGCATAGAGGGGCTAGGCGGTGCTGGGGTGGGGGTGGAGGGAGCTCTGCGTTGTGTGGGGTGACCTAGAACTCTGATGCTGCAACATTTGCACAGAAATGAGAAGGGGATATCAGGAGGGCACTGCAGGCAGGGGGTACATGCAGGTGACAGGAGGGGGCTGGGGAGGTTGCGGGTGGGGGACAGTACCATGTATGGCTGGGGAGGCCACCAGGAGACCTGGCTTTCATCTGACTGAGATGGGACATGCCTGGACCGTTCTGAGCAGAGATTCTTAAACATTTTGGTCCCACAACTTCTTTACATTCTTCATACTTAAGGACTCCAGCAAGCTTTTGTTTATATATGCTATGCATACAGATGTTTACCGTATTAGAAATTAAAGCTGACAAACTTTAAATATGTATTTATTAATCATTTAAAGTAGTAATGCATCTATTAAGTGGGAGTTTTTTTGTGAAAAAGAACTATCTTTTCCAAAACAAATTTAGTGTAAAGGATGGCATTGTTGTACATGTTTGAAAAATCTCTTTATTGTCTGGCTAAATGAAGACAGTAGAGTCCCCAAACCTGCCTCTGTATCCGGTCTGTTGCCTTATTCACATCCTGCAGCCCCTCTAAGTCCTCACTGTATTCACTGTAAATGAAGCAATGAAGTCTTCACATTATTATGAACACAGTTTTGACTTTGTGGATTCCCTGAAAGCACCTTGGGTACCCCCGGGCTCCCCAGAGTAGCAGCTGATTCAACCTCTGCTGGCTCAGCCCCTCCTGTGTGCCGCGCACTGTTCTAGACAAGGGATGAAGCACAGGGCATGGAGGCTTACTGTGGCCGCTGTGTGGGCAGCGGACCACGATGGGGCCGGTGGAGGTGGGGCCTGCCAGGAGAAAAGTCTGGCGCCCCTTTGGCACCCCTCCTCCACCATCCCATACAGCCACTGACGTGTTTTGTCACTGTGGATTGATGGGCATTTTCTGTATTTTTATCAGCATTTTCTGGAATCTTACAGGGTGTTTTATCTGGCTTCTCTCAGTCAACATAGTTGTTTTGAGATTTATCCACGTTGTCAGGTGTATTGTTCATGTCTTTTAACTGCTGGGTAAGGTACTGCTGTGTGTTTGTCACCATCTGCTGGTGCACGTGTTAGCCGTTTCCGGGTCTTGCTTATTACAAATAGCCGTGCCGTGAATATTCACATGCAAGTCATAGGCGTTTTTCTTTTCTCTCAGTAAATAGCATTTACCATAAATACCCAGGAGCAGAATGGCTGGGTCATAAGCATGTTTGCTTTCTGAGAAACCGCTGTCCTCTCTGCAAAGTGGGTGGACTGTTTTCTGTCCCCAGTGGCAGGTTTCTCCATAGCCTCCCCAACACTCAGAGCTTCAGTCTCATTTGGCCCTTTCCCACAGGTGTGTAGCAGTGATGAGGTGGCCCCAGGAGGCCTTACTTAGGTCTCCAAGACTCATGGCTAGGTGGGAAAAGGGAAATTTTTTGCAAAGCAATATGAAACCCATTTTCTAAAGGAAAAGAGAAAAAACCCTGTCAAACCCTTCTGTAAGACTGTAAGTGCCCGGGAGAAGGTTAGGAGGGCCGCCCACTGCACTGGCCCCAGCCATGGCCCTGGGAGGCGAGTGGGAAAATGAGCCGAGAAGGAGCTGCTGTTGCAGTGGGCCTCAGAGGGGGCTTCGCCACAGGGTCGTTCAGGGAGCATGGGTGGGTGACGGGCGAACAGGGCTCGGGCGGCATCCCAAGAGGAGCTGACGGTGTGAGCCAGACAGTGGTTCTGCCACATTCCGTTGACATTTATTACAGCCTTTGTATGTATCACTCACTGAACCACTGGGTTTTCTAAACACCGTAGACCTTTACTGTTAGAGTCAGAATCTATACCACACTCTTAAGGAGTATACAGATTACTTTGTATATTGTTTTTATCACATGTTTACATTTCTATTTTTTATGTATGCTTTATAATATATATATTTTAGTAGTGCCTGTTCACTTTTTTTTTTTACAAATAGTACTGAATAGTCAAAAAGGTCTGGAGACTGAGAAGGGTCATTGGAGTGTTTAGGGTTCCCGTCCTAGAGCCCTTCCTTCTCGGCCACATGCACTTTGGTTCCTGGTTTCCTACTAGCCAGTGAAGCTGGATGGTAGCTGGGACGCGTAGTCCCTATTTGCAGGCAAAGACACCCCGAGGCAGCAACCTTCCCCCGTGTTAGGGGCCCTGCGATGTGAGCTATGGTGTTGGACTTCGTGTTGAGGAGTCATGAGTTCTAGTCTTGCTTATTTTTGTTGTTTTGCAGTGTGATCTTAAGCAAACTATCCCATCCTTTTCTTCTCCTGTCTTGATGAATGGGAAGCAAGGCAGATGGCCACAGCTTCCCCTCTCCTAAGGCCTCCGGTAAGAAGGAAACCACGTGTCAGGGAATTTTACGGCTCGTGGGTACCCTCCCATGTTTGTGTCCGCCTCCTGCTCAGTTACTTAAATGCCAGCAGTTGCCACTGGTTTCCTACTATCTCGCTGCTGCCCCTCCACCAAGTTATTTCTAGGGGGTGGCACACTGTGTTCACACAGCCGGGACACACTTCGTCTTAGAAGTACCTGCTCGGATCACTTGCTCCTTCTGTCTCGTCATTCTTGTGAACACATGGTGACTGGACTCTCTGAACATGCTAATGAATGTCCCTTTTTGGTCCTCAAGGTAGGAAGGCCAGGGGTCTCATCCAAGCAGCTCGGGAAAACCTCGCGAAGATGATCGGTGGGGAACCTCAGGACATAATCTTCACTTCTGGGGGCACTGAGGTAAAGTTTCTAAACAGTCCCACATTCTTTTAGCTGTAAGTTATAGAAAATAAAAGGTGGTTCCCTCCTGGTATTACTTTTTAAAAAAGAAAGAGTAATGCTTGATCTTGCTTTTGGCAAATTAGGTTGATATAATTAGCCAGTATTTGTCCTATAGATAAATTCCAGGTGACTCACAGGATAGTTGTAGTTTGATGTGTAAACCAGTTTGCTTTGCACTGTTATTTCAACAAGAAGCATTTCCCCTTCATGTTGCCCTGGAATCATTTCTCTGAATCCCTGCTAAATTGTTTGCCTTACTAAGAATTTGAGGTTTGACTCATTCCAAAGTGCTTACTTTTAAATTGATAAAAGATACTCAGTGAAGGTGTCCAGGCCTCTGTGCCATCAGTAATCCTCACCGTGTCTTTTCCCTGCCAGAAAGCTGGTGGTGTGACCATCCACAAAGAAAACCTGAAGGATTATTAGAGCTAATAAGAAAATTTAGCCAAGTTACTAGATACAAAAACCAACTGTATTTCTACATACCAGCAACAAATGGATATTTACCAGAGCACCAAAAAAATTAGGAAATAAATCTAGTAAAAAAGAATTTGTAAGACTCCCCACCCCTCCCAACCAGGAAAATGGTAGAAATATTACTGAGAGCCTTCAAAGAAGTTCTAAATAAATAAATGGAGCAATGTACCATGTTCACAGTTTGGAGGACTCAATATTATAAACACGTCAGTTCTTTCCAAATTCATCTGTAAATTCAATAAAACTTTGATCAAAATTCATCACTTTTGGGGGGAAATCTCACAAACTAGATGGAAATACAAAAAGCCAAGAATAGTCAAGACCAGAAGATTAAGGACACAGTAAAACCACTCACCCTACCGGATATCAAGCCTTATATACACTCTGTGAAGCAAGGCGTTTGGTCTCAGGGCGAGACAGACGGTGGCCTAGGAACTGCTGTGCATGCGCAGGTGCTTGTCATGGGGCTACATGGCCTCGTGTCCTGTTTGCTCAGGACAGCCCGCAGTACACCTGCCCTGACATAATTCAGCGGTGCCCTCTCCTTAAATATTTCTGGCTCAGAGGACAGAGTGCATGATCATGTGTATGAGGGGTGACGTAGGGGCAGGAAGGAAGCGTGCTCTCAGAAAACGGTGCTGGGACAACTGGACATTCACAGAGGACAAGGAAACTGGTATCTCCGCTGCACAACATACACGAGCAGAGCTCCAGGCATGAAGACACCCAATCATGGAAAGTGACATTTATACAGCTTTTAGGTGATGAGTTAATATCTTTGTGATATTTAAGATGATGGGTTTCTTAAATATAATACAGAAAGTAGAACCGTAAAGAAAAAGGTGATAAATTCTCTCGCCACAACCAGACAGACTCGTTCCCAGAGAACAGCGTGAAGGGACAGAGGGTAGACGGTGGGGAAGGCACTTGCTCCGTGACCGAGCAAACACTAGCATTCGAAACGTGAAGGCTGATGGCCCAGTGGGAACAGGGCGAGACCTGTGAATGAGCACCTCGCAAAGTGGGCGCCGAGGGTTTCCACATGTGAGAAGACAGCCTCGCAAACAACGGGGGTGAAGAGCGCTGCTGCGCCCATCGAGTGGTGGGGATCCGGGCGTGGGTGCCGATGGGGGGTGAGCAGGGAGCGCCCGGCGGAGTGGACAGGACGCCCGTGTGCACTCGGGACAGGTGAGGACGGCTCCTAGCAGCATTGCTGGTGACAGCCAGAAACTGGGAGTCGCCCAGGCGTCCCTCACATTAGTGTGGGCAGCGTTACACTGTGGGTGCCAGCCTGCAGTGGGTACCACAGCTGCCCATGCCAGACCCTGGAGCTCAAGGCAGCCCCTCGAGCATAGGTTGAGTCTGGCTGAAGAAGGGCCCGGGAGCCTCTGCCAGGCCCTGGGCACCATGACCGCCACTGCAGGACCAGACTCTCGGCATCACCAGGAGCTGCCTCAGCTCTGCTGCCCAGTGGGGCCATTGTGGCCCAGGAGCAGACAGCCCACTTCTGGGTGTGACCTGCTGGTCCCCACAGGCCGCTGTGCCTCCTGTGCTGCTGGGAGCGCAGCCCCTGTGAGGGTTGGGTGGCAAACAGTGTGGACCCCTGTGTCTCTCCAGCCACTGCCTACAGATGGGGACAGCATGGAGACAGTGACCTAGGTTGTGCAGCCCCCAGGGTCCCCTTACAGGGGATTGCAGGCCAGTCTGGCCGTGAGGAGCCTGGAAGGAACCTCTCTCCTGGACAGAAAGGCTGTGGGGCAGCGATGCTTCCTGTGAGGCTGTGACCTGGGCATTATGAAGAGGCGTCAGCCTTCTGCAGAAGCACCCCGAGCCGCGTGTCCAGGCCAGCTCCTCACTGCTGCCTACCTGGAGGCGTCTCAGGCCCGGTGAGCCCTGGTGACACGGCCTCGGTTCTCCACCAGGCAGGGCGGGCCAAGTGCTCTGAGCTCTGTGGCAGCACGAGGGTCTCAGTCCAGTGCATGTGGCCCTCCCCTCACTGTACGGCACCTTCAGGTGCTCGAGTGGACTGATTTTCACCTAATGCTGTTCAGTCCCACTGATATGAAGGCCAGAAAGCTGAAGGAAGCGGTATGGCTTTAGGGACGCCGCACAGGACAGGGAAGCATAAAGGAAGGAGGAAGTGATCACATAACAATTAGGGCGGCAGGTGGCTCTGGGGGGGGCAGGGTGTCCCCCCACAGGGTGCACAGGGGACTCGGTCTTGCCCCAGGTGGCAGTTACTCAGGAATTCACTGTTACACTTTTTCATTACACTTATGTTTTACACATTTCTGTATGTATATTATACTTAAAAATAAGAGAAATGGTTTTTGGGGTTTCTTTGTAAGCCTTCCTCCACACCCAGCCCCTCAGTTATCTACTTCCTCTCCCTACAGGAAACCAGTATTCTCAGTTTCTTTCCTGCCCTCCGGAGATAGTCTGCATAAAAGGCAAATAAATATGTAGATTTATATTCTTTCTCCATTTTATCTTTTCAAGGATTTTTTGCACCTATACATTTTGCAAATGTGCATGTGTCTCCTTCCTTTTTGTACAAATTGTAGGATACAATATATAACATCTTTTAAACCTAACAAGTATATCTGAGATCTTCTGACATCAGCATGTAGAGCTTTTACGTGTGCTTGGTGTCCAGTGAACTGTGTTGTGTAACTTACTTAACAAGTGCCCCACTGAAGACATTGAACGGCTTTCCAAGACTGGCTGTTTCCAGAAGCGCTGCACTTCAGGAATAGCCCGCACATACATCTTTCCTTCTGTGCCAGGTCAGGTAACAGACCTGCTGGTGGAAGGGCTGTGACGGACCTGCCAGGTGGGCCTTGGTAGAGGTGCTGCCAGCCTGTCCTCTCGGAGCAATGGGTGCCTGGGGGAAATGATCTCTTTTAATGGATTCGTAAAGTTTAAGAATTCATCATGTCGCTTAACAACGAAACAGGCATAATTGACCAGAAATGAACTCTGACCCCAGATCTTCATAGTTAAACCTTTTAGAAGGTACAGCTCAGGAACGTGAATTTCTCTGAGACCATTTTCCTTTTCATGTGTTAGCCGCAAAGCAAAATGCAAGTGAGAGAGATGGCTGCTCGTAACTCTCCCCTGGGGCACGTCCTGGGAATGATGTTTCTGCTGTGTTTCTGCTCTGTCTCTGCAGGCAAATAATTTAGTGATCCATTCTGCGGTGAAACATTTCCACGAAACCCACTCCCTGAAGGGAGATGCGGCTGAGCGTCACAGCCCGGCGGCGGGGGCCGCACCTCACTTCATCACCTGCACCGTGGAGCACGACTCCGTCCGGCTGCCCCTGGAGCACCTGGTGGAAGAACACGTCGCCGGTGAGTGGCCAGCCTGGCTGAGCTCCAGCGGGGGTGCCCCACTGGCCGTGGCTGATTACGGCAGGGCTGTGTGGTGACTCCCCCACCCCTTTGCAGCCCTTGGGTGCAAAGGACTCATGGGGGTCAGTACTTGCCGCATATTTTCCCATAGGAAGAAAATGGACAGTCAGTGTGTAGAACCAGTCGTCTGTATTGCTGAGTAATGTTTCAGACTTATATGTAATAAATACATACATATTTAAATAGTGTGCCTATAAATAATAAACAGTGCTTTTCATTACTTGATTTTAATAATTAAATCTTGGCTTCCACCTCCTCTATGTGAAGAAAAAGATGAAATAGACGTCAACTTCAGGAGGTAAAGACAAGGATAAATGCCTCTCCGGCTGCATGACTGTCCCACCGGAGAGGAGGGAGGGCCCTGCCATGGGGACAGGGTGCTGGCCAGCAGCTGCCAGGCCTGAGGGGCACATGAGCGCAGTGCCAGGAACCACAGGAGCAGGGACCAGGGCGGCCCTTTGCCCTCTCTTCCGGTAGGGGGTCTCAAGCCACATGTGCTGGCCGCTTACTTTTGAAATCCTAAGAGCCTCATGTTTCCTCAGACAGCCAGGGCTTTCTGTCCTTTAGACAAGAAAGTGATTTTCTTCTCAGCATTTAGCCTCCCTGTCTAATCTGCCTGAAATCCTGGAGGTGAATCAGGGAAGGCATTTTTATCTTAAAGATAAAGGGCTATCAAGGAACTGCTCCAATTGACTATTTTCCTGCTTGACTACTAGAAAAGGTTTTCTCTTACGCCCTACCTGAACGCACCACTGTAACTAAATAAAGTCAGGTCTAACTTCTTATTTAAACTGTAGTTCCTTTCAATCCCTGGTGCCTTTTTTCTGTGTTGTACACAGGGAAGGGCAACTTAGTATACAGGGTTACTAGTTAGTTGCATTTTGCCTCCTTTAAAATTGCATAAATGTTAACACTCGCTAATAGAAATAATTTAAACATTACAGAAGAAGGTATAAAGCACAAAGTAAAGATTCTTCTCTGCCAACAGGCGACCCGAACCACTCTGCTTTCAGAGTTTTCCTTGAAGTTGCATTATCATTTGAATTGCTTCCAGTGTAATACTTAATAATTACAAACACAATCTCCAGTTCTTGCTTTATCAGCTCAAGTGTTGAATCGCCAGTATAAAATGAGGCCTGGACTTGACCGTCTCACACCCCATCACCTCCACACCTCCCAGTCGTTTCTGTATGTATCGGCTTTATGGGGATGCAATCCCTGCATGATACAGTTCGCCCATTTAAAGTGACAGTTCAGCAGTTCTTAGCATATTCACGAAGGTGCACAACCATCACCATGACCAACTCCAGAACATTTCATCACCCTGAAAAGAAACTTCATATCATTAACTGTAAATCTCTTTTCCTCAAGCCCAGGGAACCAGGGATCTATCTACCTTCTGCCTCTAGAGAATTTCCCTATTCTGGACTTTTCATATGAATGGAATCATAATTGTGGACTTTTGTAAATGGCTTCTTTCACTTTGTGGGATGCTTTCAAGGCTCATCCTTGTAACCTTGTTGTACCATGTATCAGTACTGCCTGCCTTTTTATGGATGAATAATACTCCATTTGTGTAAATGCATTCATCAGTTGATGAACGTTTGGCATTATGAATAATGCCATTAGGAGCATTTGTGTTTGAGTTTTTGTATGGACATGTTCTCATTTCTCTTGGGTTTATACCTAGGGGTGTTATAGCTCGGTCATAAGGTAACTCTCTGCTTAACCTTTTGAGATAACTCTGTGTTTAACCCGAAGCTTTATATTCTGCACAATTTACATTTCCCAGCAGTGCATGAGGGTCCAAATTCTCCATATCCTCACCAACATTAGTTATTGCCTGTATTCTTTATTATAGCCATCCTGGGGGTGCGAGGTGGTTTCTCACTGTGGTTTTAATTTGCATCTCCTCGATGGCAAACGTCGTTGAGCATCTTTTCACGTCCTTCATAAGAAGACCGCCTTCCCTTGGCCCCCCTTTGAGTCCTGAGAGGAGGCGTGAGCTCTGCCCTTCTCTCCTCTGCCCCTCCCCTGGCCTCCCATCCCTCTCTTGGGCATACCTTGCTCTTTCTCAGACACTGCCAGTGCCGCTGCCACCCTCTTGCTGCATGTGAGGGGGGAGGATGCTCGGACGTGGGAACCCAGTCCGCACCCACCTGAGCAGTCAGCTCCCACTCTGCCCTGTGCACCATGCACCCTGAACCCAGGTGGTCCCTGCATCCCTGTACCCTTCTTATGGAGTATGTTTTCTCCTGTTAACATTCTGAGTGGTTTTTCCTGTTACTGTGAATCTGATATTATTGTCTTTCCATATCATGGGGTTTCCTCAAAATTCCTTGTCCACAGGTGAAACCCCTTGTTTAGAAATGCAACTGTTCTCTCATCTCAGTGGGACCTTGAGGGAAAGTAGGTGTGTATGTCCCCCACCATTTTAAACCAAAGCCTCAGTTTAGTCACTACCACTTATTTTCCATCTGCAGTAGAAAGACTGTAAGAGCCTGCCACATAGTAGCGCTTAACAAATGTTGGCTCAGTGTTAGGTGCTTGGCGCAGTGGAATGCTGTCAGGAGCTCACAGCCCCTCCAGTGGGGGCCCTCGGCAGCAGTGGGGAGCCCGTGCGCGGGAGAACCCCACCACCTGCTGCTGCATGAGGGAAACGTTCAGGCCGATTACTTCCAGGCAGGGTGATAATGGGTGGCTTATATTCCTTCTTCATAGTTTTCTGAACTTTTAGAATAAATGCTTTTTTTAATGGTGGAGAAAGCTTTCATTAAGCTGTACCTAATGGACTGTCAAGAGAGGTCACACTGTGGGATTAACCTCAGCACCTGTGTTTATGCCTCAGAGGTCACCTTTGTCCCAGTGTCCAAGGTGAATGGGCGGGCTGAGGCTGAGGACATCCTGGCGGCTGTCCGCCCATCCACGTGCCTCGTGACTGTCATGCTGGCGAATAATGAGACCGGCGTCATCATGGTGAGTCACTTGACCTTTTTAAAAACAATCTGGGGGGCAGAAAAGGGCCCCAGGTTCTGGCGTCCTCATGCTTCTCCACTGGGGCCTCTTGTTTTTTCTTCAATTTGTAACTTTCATTGCCCTCAGTAACAGATCCTTATTTCTTTCACTCCGTTTTCATCCAATCAAAGCAACACCCTCAACTGCCTATTTTCCCCACTTTAGCCCATAGCTGAAATCAGTCAGCGAATTAAAGCCGAGAACCGGAGGCGGGCCGCTTCTGGGCTGCCTCTCGTTTTCCTGCACACGGACGCTGCGCAGGCGTTGGGGAAAAGGCGTGTGGACGTGGAGGACCTGGGCGTGGACTTCCTGACAATCGTGGGGCACAAGGTGCGTCTGCAGAGCCACTTCCCTCCCGGCGGGGAAGAGGCCCTGGCGACCCCGGGGCTCACCGCTCACCATGCTCAGCGTGCAGCACTGCCAAGCAAGTGCGGGGCCCGCAGGAGCTTAAGGGAAGAGCAGCAGTAGCTGGACGCCATTTGACAAGCTCCATGACAGGGCTGACGGGGCCCCCCAACCCACATGGGGCAGAAGGGGCACCCAGGCCAGGCTGCGGGAGGGCGGTGCGGTCTCAGGTGAGTTGTTGTGAGGCAGGTGGGTTTAGTCAGGTAGTAAGCGTCCTCTGCAGTGGGCAGAGAGTGTGCAGACCCCTCAGCAGCCCACTCAGACCCCCACTCCAAGGACAGAAGGTGTGGGTTCAAGAAATGGTTGCTTTCTTTAACTTGATCTGAAGTGTGGCTCCTGAATGTGAAAGTTTGGTTTTAGTGATTCTTACCTTTAAGGTGGAATAGGGGAAGCGGCTGATGCTCTGAAGCTGTGCTCATCCTTCTGGCAGCTGACGAGAGCCTGAAATACTCGTAGTGCTCTGTCCTGAAGCACAGGGTTCAGACCGGTTCCAGGGGAGTCACGTGCCGGCCTGACGCTGTGGCACTTACAAGTCTCGCAGGACATGGAACTGAAAACACGGAGGCATGTCCAGGAAGAGCCCTCGGCTCTCTCAAGTGCCAGCTCCTCTTCTTTAACAAATTCTATCACGTGATGTGCAGAGTAGGTCTGTGGCCACGGATGTGGGAATGGAGCCCAGGCTCTGCCCCGCACCCCGAAGGCTCCTGTGACTGACAGTGGGGGTGGGGCTCGTCCATAACAGACGGCTTCTCTCTGGGCCTCTGAGCATTCAGCACACACACAGCGCAGGTCCTCAGAGGCTCTTACTGAATGAATGGCTGGCTTGTCCTTTCAGTTCTATGGTCCCAGGATTGGAGCACTCTACGTCCGAGGGCTTGGTGAGCTCATCCCTCTGTACCCTATGCTGTTCGGAGGTGGACAGGAGCGGAATTTCAGGCCAGGGTAAGCTGGAGGTTAATGAAGTCTGACCCACTGGCCGTGCTATTGGTTTGGAGGGTAGTGGCTTTTCTTTGTCTCTTGGAAGCACTGTAACAGACAGTCTCCACCTCCACTGAACCAGCAGGGGCTCGACCGGTGAATTCTGCACCAAGGCCTCTCAGAGCTGCAGTCTCTTGGGGGATGAGTCAGAGCCGGGGCCCCCCTGGCTGTGATGCGCAGCTTCTTGACTGGGATGAGCAGGTCCACAGAGGAGCACCTGGTTTCCTTTCTGAAGACCCTTGTTCCCCGCTACGTACAGTGATGCGTTAACCAGGGAATGAGGTGGTGCCAGCACCACGCACAGTGTCAGAAACTTCGTAACAGAGGGAGAAATAGAACTACACAGTGGTGGGGTCCTTGGGTTTCCTCTTGCCTTCTCCCTCCCAGACGTGGAGCTAATGAAGCCAGCAACTCAGGAACACCAATGCCCACCCACAGCCTGCTCTCTCTAGCCAGGGGACTGGGACAGGGACAGCCTAGAAAAACAGAACTTCTAGGCAATACCTGCTTTACTCCAGCCAGTCACCACAAGGTAAACTGCCACCCCCACCCATGTCAGCAGACGCAAAGTGGGGAGCCTGGACTTCCATCTGCACAGGCTGTGACAAGACGCCCCTGCACCTTCATTGGGTGTGTCAGAGATACTGGTAGGGAGCCAGGACTTTAGCCCTTACCGGCCAATAATGAGCCACCCCCATCACAGTGTCAGCAGAGACTACATGGGGAGCCTGGCCTTGTAACCCATCACTAACAAGGTGTGTCCTTCCCTTGGATGTCAGCACAGGCCAGATAGGAAACCTGGGCTTCCCCCTCCACCTGGCAGTAACGAGCTAGCCCTACCAGAGCAGTGTCAGAGGAGGCCAGCTGAAACAAAAGGGTTAAGCACCACCCATACTTCCATAATACAAAAGCATCCAGGTTTCATCCAAAAAATACTCATTATACTGGGAACCAGAAAGATCTTAAATAGAATGAAAAAAGACAATCAGTAGATGCCAACTCTGAGATGACAAAGGTGTTAGGATTACCTGACAGTGATTTTAAGGCAGACACAATTCAAAGGCTTTCAGTGAACAGTTATGAACGCACTTTGAAAAAATGAAAGTGTAAGCAAAGAAAAAAATGTACAGAAGAACTGAATGGAAAGTTTAGAACTAAAAGCTACAACAACCGAAAAAGCTGAGTGGATGAGCTCAGCAGCGCGACAGAGGCCGCAGAGGAAAGAGTCAATGAACTGAAAGGTAGGATGACAGAATCACCTCATCTAAACAGCAAGGATATAAACCAGAATAAAAAAGAAATGGAACCTTGCCCCAGGGACCTGTGGGGATGTGACAGAAGAGCTGACATTCATCTCATTGCTGTTCTGGAGAGGAGAAAGGGTGGCACGAAGAAGAACTTGAAAAAACAATGGCTGAAAACTTCCCAGATTTGGTAAGAGACACACAACTACAGATTCAAGAAGCTGAACAAGTGCCTGACAGGTAAAATAAATCCATGTCAAGACATATAACTAAACTTATGAAAATGAAAGATGGAAAATCTTTAAAACAGCCAGAGGGGGAAAAAAATGACACCTTACCTATAGCAGAAAAGTAATTTGAATGACAGTTGACTTCTCATCAAAAACCATGGAGACCAGAAAGAAGAGGCACAATGTTTTTCAAGTGCTCAAAGAAAACTGTCAAGCCAGAATCATATATACAGCAGAAATATCCTTCAAGAATGAGAGGGAAATCAAGACATTTTCAAATGAAAGAAAATTAACAGAATCTGTCACCAGACAATCTATGCTAAAAATGACCAAAGGAAATTATTTTAAACAGAAAAGAAACAGTAAAAGAAGGAAACTTGGAACATTGGAAAGAAAGGACATGGTTAGCAAAAATATGGGTAAATGGGCTTCCTTCTGCTCTTGAATTTTCTAAATTATGCTTAATGACTTCAGCAAAAAATCAGAGCACTGTCTGACATGGTTCAAAATGTGTGTGGGAGAAATAATTGAAGATAATTATAAATGGCGGAGGGAAAAGGGATGTAAAAGGTTTCTGTTCTTCACTTGAACTTCTGAAAAATGTTCAAGTAACCCAGAGAACTGTAGAAAAAAGAAACAAATAAAAACAACAAACAGAAACAAAAAGATGGCTGTCTTAAGCCCTAATAACATCAATAATTACATTAAATGTAAATGGTCTAAATACACCAATTAAAAGCAGAGACTTACAGAGTGAATTTTTTAAAACTAACCAACTATATTTTGTCTTCAAGTAACTCACTTCAAATATAGTGGTAGAGGCAGGCTAAAAGGAGACCCCAGAGCAAAAAAATTACCAAAGACAGAGAGGGGACATTATATAATAATAAAAGAGTCCACCAAGAAAACAAAACATTCCTAAATGTTGGTGCACTAAGCAATAGAGCTGTAAAATATGTGAGACAAAAACTGATTGAACTGAAAAAAGACAAATCCACAATTACAGTTGGCTACTTCAGTACCCATCCCTCAACAGTGGTTAGAGTAACAAATCAAAAAATCAAGATACAGAACACTTGATGCCACTCATCAACCAAGAAGACTTAATTGACATGTTTAGAACACTCCATCCAACAACTGCAAAATACACGTTATTTTCAAATGCCATAGAATATAATAGGAATAGGAATAAAATAGACCATATCCTGTGCCATTAGACAAAGCTCAGTACATTTAAAGAACTGATATCATACAGAGTGTGTCTCACCAGAATAGAATCAAACCAGAAATCAGTAAGTGGAAGGTAATGTGAAAATCTCCAAACACTTAGAAACAAATAACACACTTCTAAATAAACCATGGATCATAGAGGAAGTCTCAGAAGAATTAAGGACCTTAAGATGAATGAAAATGCAGTTTATCAAAATGTGTGAGACACAGCTAAAGCACTGCCGAGAGGGAAATTTATAGCACTAACTGCTCATTAGAAAGAGGAAGAATCTCAGGTCAATCTACACTCTGACCTGAAGAACCTAGAAGATAGAACAAAATAAACCCACCGCAAAGAGAAGGAAGGAAATAATAAAGGTGAGAAGAGAAATCAATAAAATTGAAAACAAAGATGATTTTTTTAAAAGTCAATGAAACAAAAGAGTTGGCTTTTGAAAATATTGATAAAATTGACAATTCTCAAGTAAGACTGACAAAGGAAAAAAGAAACAAACTTCCAGTATCAAGAATGAAATGGGATATCATACAGACCCTACAGACATCAAAAGGATAATAAGGGAAGGGAACGCTACAAACAGTCTTACACACATGAATTTGACAACTCGGATGAGGTGGACCATTTCATCAAAAAACAAAGTATTACAGCTCACCTAAAATTAGATCATTTGAAAAGCTCTGTAACTATTAGGAAATTGATTGCATAACTCCCCAAAAAGAAGTGTCCGGGTCCAGATAGTCTCATGGGAGAATCCTACCAAACATTTAAAGAAGTGACACTATTTCTGTGTAATCTTTTTGAGAAAATAGAAAAGGAGGGAACACTTCTCAATTCATGAATTGATACCACAATAAAAAGTGGTACAAAAAATAAAACTTAGACCAAATATTCCTCATGAATTTAGATGTGGAAATATCTAACAAAATATTAGCCAATGGAATTCAGCAATATATACAAATAATTTATACACCATGATGAAGTGGAGTTTGTTCCAGGGATGCAAGGCTGGTTTATTCAAAAACCAGTGTAATCCAGCATATTTAAAAAAAAAATAGCATCATATTATTTGGTGTAGAAAAAGCATTTAATAAAATGTAACATTAATTCATTACTCAATAATATGACTATAGAAGAACTTCTTCAACTTGAAAAAAGCATCTATAAAAAGCCTACAGCTAACATCATGCTCAAAGTGAAAAGGTGAAACCTTGAATGTTTTACCCCCATGATTAGGAGCAAGCCAAGAATGTCCCTCTCATATTTACTCAACAGTGTAGAAGGTCTCACACCTTGCAAGATGTTAACTCAAAATAGATTATGAACTTAAATGAAAACATAAACTGTAAAACTTTTAGGAAAAAAAATATTCAGGCTCTAGGGCCAGGCAAAGAGTTCTTAGACTTGACACCAAATGCATTCATAAAAGGAAAAATTGACAAATTGAAGTTCATCAAAATTTAAAACTTTTGGCCTACAAAAGACTTCAAGAGGATGAAAAGACAAGCTACTAGGTAAGAGGAAATATTTTCAAATGACAGATCTGACAAAGGATTAGTATCTAGAATATATAAAGAACTCTCAAAACTCAACAGCAACAACAATTCAGTCAGAAAATGGGCAAAAAAATGTGAACAGACATTTTACCAAAGTCGATACACAGATAGCAAATCAGCACATGAAAAGATGTTCAACATCATTAGCTATTAGGCAAATGCAAATTAAAACCACAGTGAGAGATCACTCCACACTATCAAAATAGGTAAGTAAAAAACTGGCACCGCCAAATGCTGGTGAGGATGCAGAGAAACAAGACCAGTTGCTGGTGGGAATGTAAAATGGTACAGCTGCTCTGCAAAACAGTTTGGCAGATTCTTCAAAAACTAAATATGTGACTGCTGAGCAACCTGGGAATTTCACCCTTGGATATTTATCCCAGAGAAATGAAGAGCTACATTCACACCAAAACCTGTGTACAAATGTGTAGAGCAGCTGTGCTCATGATGCCGCAAACTGCAGACAACCCAGATGTCCTTCAGTGAGCGAATGGTTTGATACGTGTGGCACAAAATCCAGGGCCCCCCACTCAGTGATGGAAGGGGATGACCTGATGCGTAAAGCAGCCCGCTAGAGTCTCCAGAGAACTACGGTGAATGGAAAGCCAATCCCCAAAGGTATGGACGTATATCCCGTTTATGTAACGCTCCTGAAATGACAGACTTACAGCGACAGGGCGGGGAAGGGAGTGGGTGCGATTATAAAAGCCTCTCTGAGGCTCTCTGTGGTCGTGGACATGCCCTGGGTCTTGTCCTGGCTGTGAGAGCGTAATGCAGTGTTACTTGGGGGAAACTGAGTGAACGACGCACAGGATGTCTGTTAATTCTTAAACTGCATGTGAATCTACACATGATCTCAAATAAAAGGTTTACGAATCATCAGCGGCAGACCAGCAGGTGTCCCAGGAGCCCTCGGCTCAGTGTGGTGTCCAGAGAGGCAGGGTTTGCACTGCTCTGGGTGGAGGCAGAGGACAGCTGGCTGGGTACCCCGGAGGAGGGAGAGTGGGGGTGGGATAGGCCTGACAGGATGGGCTGGGGCAGGGGGGCACCTGGTGCTACGTGGGGTCCCAGCTCTTCCACCCCGGAGGCCCCTCTGGGGAGTTTTAGGTCACAGACCATCAGCAGATGCTCCTAGTCTGACTGTGTCGTCCTACAGTGAGGAGGGTGGGGTCAGAGAGGGGATGCCACTGGGATCCCACAGCTGGCAGAGGAATCCGGGCTGGGGACAAGGCCCGGGCCTCTGCATCACCGCCCAGAGCTCCTGGTTCTCCCGGAGCACCCCCAGGTGTCAGACAGACTGGTCCCCGGAAGCGCAGCAGGATCTCGGCTCCTGTGTGCCCTGTGCTGGGTGGCCACTTACCTTGTTATTGTTGTTTAACAAGCAGTCTCCAGCTCCCAAGGCTTGAGAAAATTTATTTAGCTAAAACTTAAAATTAAGCAAATCATTGAGTTAATGTTTTATTTTGTTTTTCCTGAAAATAGAGTTGTGTTTTCCAGTTTTTGAGGTCAGTGTATGAGAGCCATTGCCTCAGGTTCTCTGGGCCCTTTCCTGGCCCCCCACATACCTGCACACCTACTGTGCCCCAATCTCTGTTACGAAGCTTCATCCCGAATATACAGTTGGGAGGTTTCAGATGAAACGTCAGCTGCAGGGAACAGTGCGGGGCCCAAAGGGGCTGAGGTCAGAAGAGGGGTTTCTCCTGGATAGCAAAAGGGTCCAGATGGAATTGTCATTGTGGACACCCAAAATATATTGCTCACAGTGGGTGGTGGTGCTGGTCTCCGGGCCAGCACAGGACACTGCATGGAGGGGCTGGAGGCCTGCAGCTGCCCGTTGAGGCGGCCACTTGGCACCTGTTAGGAAAGATGTTAGTGTGATTTTGTTTTTCTTTGAACACATGACTTTCATGAGACAGGATTGCCTTCTGGGATGTTCGCTAATTGCTTTGCATGGAAATGGGATTGAATAAGGGATTCTGTCTCTTACAGGACAGAGAACACCCCGATGATTGCCGGCCTTGGGAAGGTGAGCCTGGCGAGCTTGGGCAGAGGAAGCAACTGCTTTGCCTGTTGCTGGGGGAACCTCAGCCTTCCCCCTGTGTCCCTTTTCTGGCACACACACCTCCAACACCAGCTGTGTGGGACGGCCCCACCGTGCAATTCTGTGACCCCCAACTGGCTGGCCTGCCATTTCACTCACTTCTCACACCGTCCACCTGGAGATGGCGTCAGACCCCACAGGTGAAGGGCTCAGTCCCAAAGACATCCTTCCCTGTGCCAGCCCAAGTCCAGGCTGTCACCTGTGCTCTGACCAACCAGCTACAAACCAGAGGTTCCCACGAGCTCCATCTCAGGTTTAATTCACTGGGAAACTTGACAGAGCTCACCAGCTCACCTGTCTATTGTGAAAGGATGTGCTGAGGGGTACAGACATCCACATGGAAGAGACGTGCAGGGCAGGTGCCCTCCCAGCACCTCTGCGTGTTCACAGCCCAGAAGGTGTCCCAGCCAGTCTGGTGGGGACTTTATGGAGGCTTCCACCCATCATTTACTCCACTTGCAGGCCCTCTCCCTTTTTGGGGCTGAGAATTCCAAGCTTCTAATCCTGGCCTGGTCTTGCTGAGACCAGCCCCACCCCAAGCCGTGCAGGAGCCCGCCCAGAGGTGCAGCATTAGAACAAGACGCTAGTCACCTGAGACCTTCCAAGGGTTTTAGGAGCTCTGTGTCAGAATCAAAGTGCAAATACAGAACAAGAGACACCCCTGGGGTTCTTACCACTTAGGAAATTACCAGGGTTTCGGGAGCCCTATGCCAGAAACCAAGCAGACGCCAATATATGCATTTTCTATTTTCAAGATCCATTTCCCCAGCAGCTTTCCCAGGTATCCAGGGCTTTAGAGGGTCGTGTTGAGGACCCCGGTTTATGGACTGCTATGAGGAGAAGCCTCATAACAGTTCTGAGCTCTGTAAAATGGGTTGCACTTGACATGCTTGGCATTTAAGGGGACGCATCTTCCAGACTCTTCTAATGGAAGAAATACAGTGATGTTATGACAACCAAGAGAAATGTCAGGCCCCTGCGTTTGCTTGTTCCTGGACCAAGTTTCTCCGCCTCCCCGAGCCCCGCCCTCCCTGCAGGAGCAGAGTCCTGAGTCCTTGTGAGGACGGGGTGGTGGCCGCTGAGCGCAGGCACCTCAGCCCAAGCCCTGGGCCCTTTACTCCTCCTGGTGGCACACCTGTGCCCAGACCCTCTGACCCTGCCATCACTTGGGGGCGTACTGTCGTCTCGCCCCGGTCCTTGCCCAGCCTGGCCCCAGCCTGTGCGTGTCTCTCCGAGGTCACTTCTCCAGGAGAGGCATGCTGGCACTGCCCAGGCCAAGTAAAGGTCTCTGGGCTTCCTGCCCCTTCCCCGGGAGCCCCTCCCGCTGTGTCATGTCCCTCCTCACTAGAACGTTTCCCAGTGTTTAAAACTGCTTCCCTGAGACATTGCCTCCAAACATTCTTGCCAGTGTCTCTGCCCTGGGAGGGCCCGGGAGGGCCCGCCCGCCCCCACCCCCTCCCTCCCAGACACAGTCTTGCTCCTTCCTCGCCTTTGAGACTTGCCGAGGAGGTCCCCGGGCACCATCATGTCATCATGCTGGCTGCTGGCTGCTTGCCTGCCCTCCGCCCTGGCTGTTCCTTCTCTGCCTCCCCACCTGCTGGCAGGCCTCCTGGGTGCCCTCCCAGCCTCCTCTGCATGGCCCCACGGAGGCTCCTCGTGGCTCTAACAGCAGCCAGTGTTAGGTCTTTGGACAACATCTCAGGGCAGGTCCTGACCTCCCGGAGGACCCACAGCCCCACCTGCTGACATTGCCTCTGGGTCCACGACGTGCCTCTGTCCCTATAGTGCCTCTGCCACCCAGGTTCTCACTTCTGAAATTGGTGAGATGCCCTTGACCTTGTTCCCTGCACCAGATGTAACAGCCAGTCCTGTGTGTTCTGGCCTCTTGCCCACATTCAGAGCAATGTCACCCCCCGGGTTGGGCTGGACACCCACCACAGTCTTCCATCCTCCACACAGCATCTGGAATGGCCATTAAGCACACAAATCAGGTGACCTCACCCCTTTCTCAAAGCCTGAGCATTGCCCTGTTGCACATGGGTTCAGATCCCACCTGTCACAGGGCCTCTGCAGCCCGGTGCCCTCGCCCACTCGGTCCAGGGTTGGTACCTGTCCCTCCCACATGGCCTTGAATGTTGGTGGCTGCCTTTGTGTTCTGCATGCCATCTTCCCTCCACCCTGCCCTGCACCTTGGTGCCTGGTGAAGAGAGCTGCTGTCCGCATGGAGATAAGGGCCCCTGAGCACGTACCGCAGCCCCGTCCCTTCAGCTCCCCTTGAACCGTCAACACCGTCTGTTCATAAGCCCCAGGAAACGAGCTGTTGGAGTCGCCGCTGCTGTTTGTGCTGCTTTGCTGCCCCGTGTGGTGTTGAATGGGCTTCCCCGCTGTGCCACCCCATGTCCCCAGGCCGCCCAGCTGGTGATGGAGAACTGTGAGGCCTACGAGGCGCACATGAGGGGCATCCGCGACTACCTGGAGGAGCGGCTGGTGGTGAGCGCGGTGGCATGGGCGGGGCAGCTGGCGGCCTTCCTTCTGCGAGGAGCCTGGGCTGGCGGGGAGCCCTGGGGAACCTGAGTTAGGAGCCCCCGCCAAGTGGGTGACATTTTTCCCTGACACATGATAAAAACTAACTCCATAGCTACTGGATTTTGGGGCCGGGCCTAGGAGAGCACGTGTATTTGGAACTTTTTTCTCCTCACCTTTGCTTACCTGGCCAGTCCCCACAGCTGTTCAGGCAGATGCCCAGCGCTGAGATGATTACGTCATATGTTGAGGCTTTGTTTCCCAGAAAAGTTCAAACAGTCGGGCTGGACACGGGGCACGGAGGCTGGAAGCTGTCACTGAATATCCCATGGACTTTGCAGGCTGAATTTGATGGAAGAATCCATCTGAACAGCCAGTTTCCAGGGACAGAGCGGCTGCCCAATACATGCAACTTTTCCATCCGGGGACCCCTGCTCCGAGGTGAGGCCTGGCCCCTGCTGGTGTCTGTGAGCAGCGCACACCTGTGCCATGGGGCTCCGTGGGGCTGAGCCAAGCTGCCTCGCCAGTGCTCGAGGTGCCCCTGCTTGGGCACAGTGCTGCTTGGCCCTTGTGCCTGGGTAGCACCCACACAAAAGCTGTTAGGAAAAGAGAGAAAGTGAAGTAAATCGTAGGCTTGTTGGTCCCTTTCCATCAGCAGCTTTTACGTGTATCTTAGGAGGATGAGGGCAAATTGGAGGCCAGGCCCTGGTGAGGATGACACGCAGGTCCCTGGGCTTCACGTGGGCCCATGGCCGTGCCACCCTCCCATGCGGGAAACGGTAGAAAATGGGATGAGGTCCAGGCTGACCAACGTGCTTCACTGGGAGGGGCGCTGCAGCCCAGGAGTGCGGGGCGGTGCGTCTGCAGGGCGGCACCCACTTCCAGGGCGAGGCCATCGCCTCGTCTATCTTCCAAGGTGAGTGACAGAGGCGGTGGCTTCCTGGGGCTGTGAGGAGGGCCAGCAGCTGTCGCTGCCACATTCTTGAGGGACGGGAGCATGGCTGCCTGCCCCATCCCTCCAGAGCTCCTGCCGTGGGGAGAAAGCTCCGCTGTCATCTGCCCCTTTTTGTCGGGGACACCTGTCCGTGGTGACCTGTGTTCACTTAAATGAGACAGCGTCTCATCATGATTAAATCAGCAGTGACCACTCTATGTATTTAATCTCTGAGCTTATAAAAGAGGGAAGTGCCTTCTAGCTCCCAGGTCTCTCTGCCTTTAGGAAGCATGGATGTGAATTTAAGTATTACTCTCAGGACAACAAATTATCAAGCAAGGCAGGTTATCAGAATTCTGAGTGTCTTACTAGGCAGCTGATCAGAAATGACCATCTCATGGCCAGTCTTACGAGGCACCAGTGTCTACTCTTCTGCAGCCACGGGAGAGGAAGCATTTTCTCGGGTTCCTGTGGGCAGAGGGGCCTATGCACTGGGACTGTTCGGTGGCACAGGGAGGGAGCCACAGAACTTGCAGCAGAGAAGAGGAGAGGCAGACGGGGAGGGACAAGTGGGACCCTGCCTGGACTCTGCCTCAGGGACATGTGCTCTGTCTCCTCAGGCCACTTGGTGCTGGCACAGTGCAGGATGCTGCTGGCCAGCGTGGGCGCTGCATGCCACTCGGACCATGGAGACCAGTAAGTGCTCCCCAAGTGCTCAGCTCCAGTGTCCAGGGCACATTTGTGCTCTGGGTGCTGGTCATGAATGGGCAGGTGGCCTGCAGCCTGGGAGGGACACAGGAAGGGACCAGCCATCCCAGGCCGGGGCTGGTGCTGCAGCGTGTGAAGTGAGGGCTTCGTGGGCAGGCCTTAGGATGGGAGATATGCAGACCATGGCTTAAGGGAGGGTCGGGACCTGACCAGGGAGGTCAAGCCCCTATGGTAAGAGGGGCCAGTGCTAGGAGCCCCCTTTATCCTCAGGAAAACAAGGGTTCTGAAGAGTATGACATGTTGGATTTGGGTTACAGAAAACTCCCCCACTCGGCACAGGAGGGGTCACGGGACAGCAGGCCCAGTTGGCCAGAGTGAGGGCCTGGACCAGGCACAGACAGAAGGGGAGGGTGCGGGGCTGGGGGCCAGGTTCTACGGGGGGAAGAGGTGCTCCGTCTAGGCTAGCAGTGACAGGAGTGCAGGGGGGGAGCAGCCTGGGCTGCAGGGGGAGCAGGCCTGCGGGGGTGATCGGCAACAGGCTGCCATTAGCATCCAGAGCTGGCTGGGACTTCGAAGGAGCACAGGAGTGGGGCGGCCGCCTAGAGGGAGCACTGGTGTGGCCACGGAGGGGGCGCAGACAGGGAGCTCCTCAGGGCCTCAGCGCCCTATAGCAGAGGGGCTGCGTGGGGCACCGGCGAGGCCCGGAGCCGGAGCCACCGTCGGGAGCTGTGAGGCCAAGGCCAGCCTGGAGGGCAGAGGGAGGGCACAGGGGGCCGCTTGCAGAGACTCCCCACCCCCTCACGGGGACGTGAGCAGCTGCTGTCTCAGACGAGGCAGCTGGGGCGGGTGGTCAGCTGGCAGGGGCAGCACAGAGGAGGGCCGATGGGGACGAGGAGGGCCGGCAGCACAGCTCAGAAGCGAGCGTCCGGTGAGGGCCCCGTGAGGGTGTGAGGGGATGGGTGCTCACTGCCGCTGGGGGAAGTGGGGGTGATCTGGAACAGGAGGTGAGGCCACCCACTTGGGAGGGGTGAGGGGGCCAGAGCTCTGGGCCGGGTCACTGCCCACCCCGGTCCTGCTCTCACCTGGGACACAGTGGGCTGTGGGGGCCTCAGGCTCTGACGCTCGGTGACCAGAGGTGATGAAAGGCATTTACCTGGACGGGTTTCACAGGCCCCGCAGTGGCAGCATACTGTGCTGTGCTGGTCCCCCGGCTGTCTGTCCCCTTGATGGGGGAACCTGCTTGGGGATTGGAGGACTGCCATGAGCCACACAGCCCAGCTTCAAAGCCACCTTCTGATGTCTTCAGTTGATAAATGTTAAAGCCCTGTGCCAGGAGCTGTGAACACAGCCATGACCTGGCAGCCCCAGCTCCCAGGCCGCGCGTGGGAAGGAAGGCGCTCCACGCCAGGTGGGGCCATGCATCTCCCCGACCTGTCACCACCTTGGAGATAAGGAAAGCCAGACCCAGCGCCCCGCCTAGCCGGACGCAGTGGCCAGCGGTCTTCATCGAGCTGGGAAGGGCCACTGTGTGTGCAGGAGTTCTGAGCACAAGGGACCCTGAAGCGGGGCGGGCTTAGAGGTGTGTTTGGCAGAGAGCAGAGGAGGGGAGCAGGCCCGGTTCTGCCATGGACACAGCCCAGCGTGGGAAGCTGGTCGGGAACAGAAAGGGCCGTGTCTGTCCCCGGGCCCCGAGGAGCACAGGGTCCTCCCTCTGTGACAGGCAGCTAATGCCAGCTCCCTCGCCCCTCCAGGCCATCCCCGGTGCTGCTGAGCTCTGGCATCCCCTTTGGCGTGGCGCAGAATGCCATCCGGCTCAGCGTGGGCCGCAGCACCACCCGGGCCGAGGTGGACCTGGTCGTGCAGGACCTGAAGCAGGCCGTGGCCTGGCTGGAGGGCCAGGCCTAGGGCTGAGGGCACCTCACAGGAAGCTTCCCCAAGGGCTGTGCCCGCCTGACCCTTCCTAACTTGCCCAGGAGAGTCTGGGTGCGGAGGGGCAGTGCAGTGCGGCCGTGCGCAGGGCAGGGGTGCTTACAGACTGGGACACAAACGCCCACCTAAGGCCCGCTGCCTTGGCTGCCCAGTGGCGTGGCTGAAAGGAAGTGCTTTGGCTGCGTCCATGCTCCCCTCTGGGGAGTGGGGTGGGCCTGTGGGGAGCGCTCCCTTCCTGGGAGGTGTGCTTTTGTGTGGAAGATCAAATCCTTGTATTTATAATCAATGACCAATTACTATCATGAAAATAGGAAACCTGGATTTTGCTACGACCGTGGCACCTGTCATTCGCCCAGCAGGTTGGCTGCCTGTGGGCCTCCCTGCCTCAGCTTGGCCCTGTCCGGCCCTTCCCAAGTGGGTGGGGCGGCGGTCAGGCCCTGTACTCTGCCTGGCCATCCCCTACCTCCCAGCCCTGCCTGGGCCAAGGATGCCTGTCACCACCAGGCTGTGGCCTCTGGGCACCTCCCTGCCTGGAGCCCCCCGCTCCTCCAGCCTCTTCCCTTTTGGTCATTTCCTCGGGCTCACTGGCAGCTGAGCTGCGGAGGGCTGCGTACGTGATGCTGGGACGTCCCCGAGGTGGGGAATCAGTCCCCCAGCTCAGCTTCCTAATCTTACTCGCACAGGGATTCTTGTATCTTCACAAGCGCTTATTTGACACCAAGTGTATCTCATGGAGATGTTACACAGGAGTGCTTTTTAATAAATAACACTTGTAATGTGCGGTTTTAAGGTGAAAAGAACTTATGATGACATTGAGGAAATAATTGTCAGAAATTAAATAAACTCATAAAAGATTTCAGTGCTTGTATTGGATCACTGAGTGGGTGCTTCTCCTGGGGTTCTCGTGTGCCTGAGCCAGCCGGGGAGTGGCTGCATACTGTGCCATGCTGGTGTCCAGCCTGGGACGCCCGTGTGCCTGAGCTAGCCGGGGTCCAGCCCCACCGAAGAGAACAATCTGGGTAAAGATGCATGGCAGCTCCGCGACTCAGGCACTGTGCTTGGAGGTGAGCTGAGGTGGGGCCTGGAGACCCTCAGGCCTCCCAGACGCCGTCCAGAACAGGGTCACGTCCCCATGCTCCAATGGCCCTGTGGAGCCACCCCTCCTGGGAGGCTTATGGAGCCGCCAAGGCCTGGGGCAGCCGGGGGCCAGGATCCAGCCTGGATTTATTTCCCAGGCATGAGTGGGCCCTGGGCCCCTGGTGGGTGAAGATGTCAGATGGTAGATGCCAGCACGCCTGGCAGGCAGCTCCCCAGCAAGGGCCCTGCTGTGGCCGGCGCTGCCCCCCCTGGCCAGAGTCTCCACAGTGCCTCCCCAAGGGCCAGACCAGAAAGCAGGTGTTCAGGAGCTGACCGTGTTCTTGAAAGGACGTTGGTGACCATCCTAACACCACTGGATGCGGGAAGTCTATCCCGGGCCAAGGTGCTCTGCCCATTTCCTCAGCCCTCGTTCTGCAGGAAAAAGAGCCCTGGAAAAAGAGCCGTGGTCCAGCCACAGGGAAGTGTCCTCTGGCTAGTGCCCACCCCTGACCTGAAGCTGGGGCAGGCCCTTCCCTTGTGCCCTCTGCCCGCTGCAACCCTGGGCACTGCGGGAATGGCTTGGGCAGGGTTTTGAGACCAGCCTGAGGCCTATGGCCCCCCCACCCCTGCCACCTCCCATCTGCCCTGTACGCTGCTTACCGGGTAACCGGAGCCGTGAGCTGCATCTATGCCTGAAACAGGAAGCCTGGGCCTGTGCGTGAGCCACAGAAAGCTGGCCAGGTGGCCGGGGCTGGACGATGGAGGAGCAGCGGGCGCTCAAAGCCGCCAAGAAGGGGGACCTGGCCACCTTGGAGCAGCTGCTGGAGGCTGGTGTCCTGGGACCGGGCATTACCGATGCCCTGGGGGCTGGCCTGGTGCACCATGCCACCCGGGCCGGCCACCTGGCCTGTGTCAAGTTCCTGGTGCAGCAGGCCAAGCTACCCGGCAACCAGCAGGCCCGCAACGGGGCCACACCAGTGCATGATGCCGCCGCCACAGGCAGCCTGGCCGAGCTCCGCTGGCTGGTGCGTGATGGGGGCTGCGGTCTGCAGGTGAGCGGGAACTGCAGCCGAATGGGGGCTGGGGACAGGCCAGCAGTCCAGTGTCCGTGTGGACCGAGGGAGGCAGGAGCCATGAGCCAGGTCTGTGGTCCTTGTCCCTGGGCTCTGTTTCAGGGACCGTCATGCACACCCCACGCACAGCTGGGGATGTTGGTCTCTGCAGCACGCCCGCCCCACCCCAAAACCAAAACCAACACACAGCCCTTGCGTGCCAAGGCTGCCTTCTACAGCACCACAGAGCCCGCAGGCCCTTTCCCTGCGCCCCACCCCAGGAGTGCCTGGCCTTGCCAGCAAGCCCGTCCAGCCTGAAGCGCAGGCCCATTTCCCCAGGGGTCTGGAAGAGGGTCTGTGGAGGCGCACAGCAGGCATCAGGCTCAGGGGCTGCGGGCTGCAGCTCGGGTGACTGCGGGCCTGCTGCAGGGCAGTGGGACCAGGGCCTTGATGGTAAAGGGAAGGTGTCCAGTGCACAGTGATGTCCTGTTGGTGGCATCACTGGGCCTGCCCTCTCCCTTCTCCTGCCTGCCCGGTGCCCCTCTGTGCCACTGAAGGACCTTGGGAGGACAGTGAGCAAGCTCTCACTGGGCATAAGGACACGCTCCCTGAGTCACAGCTGGGCAGGCGCTGGTAGGACGTGCCAGGTCGCGGGGGCGGGAATACTCACCCGGCACAACCAGCAACTGCAACAGGCACCACACTGCCATCCCCACGGGCTCTTCCCAGACCCAGGCCCGGGCAGGCGTGGTGCCCATTTCTGTCCCTGGGGAATGCCCGGCTCCGGACGCCCATGTGAGAGTGCTCCCCACCCGAGGACTCTCAGCTGGCAGGTGGGCACCCTGTGCAGGTGGGGGGCAGAGGCTGGAGGCAGAGTCGCAGACCTGCAGCAGGCCGCCAAGCTGGCGTGTCCGTGGCTGGGCCGGTGGAGGCCTTTCTGACTGAGCAGAGAGCAGGAGGGGCCACGACTGTGCCCGGGAGGTGTGGGCCCGGTACGTGGCGGGATCACCGGTTTGGGTTCAGAATCCTGGACTTGCGTGCTAACCTGCCTCTCACCTAAAGCAGGCTGCCTGGCTCAGCCAGCAGAGAGGGCCTCCCCTGTGCTGTGCAACAGAGAGAGCAGGAACGGCAAGCTCCCACTCTGTGGCAGTGTGGCTGGGCTGCTGGCACAGGTGGGCCCAGGACCTGCCTCTGGCTCACCGCCCTGTCTGTGCCTCTGCAGGACCAAGACGCCTCGGGTGTCTCCCCGCTGCACCTGGCCGCCCGCTTTGGACACCCCGAGCTGGTGCAGTGGCTACTCCAAGAGGGCCACGCGGCCACGCTGGAGACGCTGGAGGGGGCCTTGCCCCTGCACCATGCCGCGGTCAGCGGGGACCTGACCTGTCTGAAGCTCCTGGTGGCTGCCCACAGCAGGTGAGGAACCAGGGTGCCACCTCTCAGGCAGTCTGGGGGCGCTGGCCCCTGGGGAGGCCGCATCTAGGGGGCAGGGGAGGATGGCCCGTCAGCCTTTGAGGTGGGCCATACTGGGCAGGCACCCTGTGACGGGGCAGAGAGGGCAAGCACACGGCCCAGAGAGGCAGGGTGGGTGGCAGGCCAGGAGCCGGGGCAGGCACAGGAAGAGCGCCCTCACTGTGTGGAGGGGCAGTGAGAACAGCCTGAAGCTGCTAACACAGCCCAAAGAGAAAGCCCCCAGCTCTTGCCTGGGGGGGCTTCAGGGCCGAAATTTCCCCAGCTTCAAAGGTGGGCACCCTCAAGTCATCTGAGGAGAGCAGGGGCTTTGTAGTGGTCTTGGGGAAGCTGCAGCCCCATTAGGTGGGCCTGAATTCTCTACACTGTCCGTCCCCTACACTGGGAACCCCTTTGGGGAAGCTGGTCTCCTTGTCTGGTGGCCCTGTGCCCAGGCCCGGGAGTTGCTGGATGGCTGAGGATGGAGGGGCAGGGCCGGGCTGGGACTCCCTTCCCACTGTGGGCACCCCACAGCCCTTGCCTCACACAGCGGATACCAAGGGTACAGCAGTGGGCTGTCCAGGAGAACCATGCACATGGCCTTCCCACTGTCTGTCCCCGGGGCTGCTGTCCTGGCTAGGACGGGCCTTGGTGTCCACGTGACACCTGACCTGCCCTTCTTCCCAGAGCCCGCCTGCCTGTAGCCACGCATCTTCTCCCGGGGTGTGGATGGATGGATGTTTGTTGAATGGATGGACAGCTGTCCCAGCTGCCCCAAGTTTGTTCCCAACAAAGCCTGACAGCTCACCTGTGGAGTAATGTCATTCCTGGTCTTGCCATCGTGAGCGCTCAGCGGTGGCCTTTGGTACTCACTTCTGCAGATGTTGTGGGTTTGGCCATAGAGTATCTCTTAGGTCGGCAGTTTTTGAAGTGCTTTCTGCCATTTGAAAAAACTGGGAGATTTTACATCCACACACACACACACACACACACACACACACACACACACACGCACACACACACACGCACGTGCACGCACATAAACCAGAAGCCGTCATGCCCCTGGGCCCATGTTCCCACCCGGCACAAACCACAGAAGCCAGAGTGAAGTCTGCATGACCAGGGGATGTAGAAGGCCATGGGCAGGGACCTTGGGTAGGGGACCACCCCTCCCTGCAGCATTTCCCTGGGGACCAAGGGTGCCTGGCCCTGCAGCGACTCGGAGGTAGGGCAGGTGCCGGGGCTCCCAGGGCCCTGCTTCAGTCTGTCCACACTGGGGCCTGGGATTCTGATGCCAGGCCTGGGCACTCATGGGCCAGTGTCCTGCTCACAGAGCCTCTTTTTACAGAGCAGGCCCTGCACTCTGGCGTCCACCGACCTGCCCAGTGCAGGCCCCACTGGGCTTTTCACCCCTAAGAAATACCCCTGACAGCTCAATGGGGAGTGAGTGGGGCTGGAGTCCAGCAGTCAGGACCCCGGTGCCCCTGACCCTGTGCCCTTGGGCCACCTGTGCAGCCCTACAGGTGACTGGGTGGACCCCTCAGCCGGCAAGGGGGCAGGCACAGCAGATCGGCCATGTGCAGCTGCCCATGCACTCCATCTGAGGTTTGGCTGGAGTAACCCTGGCCCCCCAGGACCCCACCAAGCACCCTCTGAACCCCATCTTCCCTCACAGCACGGTGAACCAGCAGACACACAGTGGTGCCTCCCCTCTCTACCTGGCCTGCCAGGAGGGCCACCTGCACCTGGCCCAGTACCTGGTGAAAGACCGCAGTGCTGACGTGCACCTGCGTGCCCTGGATGGCATGAGTGTGCTGCATGCCGCTGCCGCCCGCGGCCACTACTCGCTCGTCGTCTGGCTGGTAAGGGGATGCCTAGGTGGGGACAGGGAGGTCCAGGAAGGCTGACACCTGCTCCTGCCTAAACCCCAGAGCCACTTCTGAGCCACAGGTGATGACTCTACCCGGGTCTCAGTTTGCCTGCAGAACAGGGAGACCTGCAGGGTTGCTGGGGGATCAGATGGGCCCACCAGTCTCTCTGAGCACCGTGCTTGCCAGGCCCAGGCTGGGCCTGGGGGTGCAGCCCAGAGCCCCCAGCGCAACCCGCCATGGCTGTGGACTGGATGCCAGAGCCCTGCAGGACTGTGGGGATGTGGCTGCAGTCCCTCCAGAGGGTCCCCTGCCCCCGCCCCAGGAGTCCTGCCAGGTCACCAGTGCCTGGCACCAGCAGCGCTGGCTCTGGTCGCTTGGCCACTTGTTCCCGCTCTGCTGCCTCAGAGCCTTGGGCCAGCACCCGCCCCTCTTCCTTTCTGGCCCCAGGCAGGGTCATTTAGACCTTCCTGGAAGGAGACCCTGGGACCCCAGCACACAGAGGGGTCCAGGTTGGGGGTGCCCCTTCCAGGATGGGATGGGATCTCCTGCCTTCACCACAAAACCCAGACCAGGTGGGGTCTGCAGGAGCCCCGAGGGCCTGTGACAGAGACTGACCGAGTCTCAGCACAGGGAGGCCTCCCTGAGGATGAGCAGAGGGAGGCCCAGGCAGGGGGTGGCTGGCAAGGGCGAAGTCCAGCCACGTTCCTGGAGGAGGGCCTGGCTCGTTCATAGGGCCGCATCTCTGCTGCTGGCCTGGCCTGTCCCTCATGGTGAACGGAGACCACATTCAAGGCAGCAAGAGGGGGAGAAGGGGTGACGCCACGCCCACCAGCCCCTTCTATAAGGAGCAGGATTCTCCAAACAAGCCCCTTAGGTCTCACTGGCAGACGCTCGCGTGGCTGTCCCCACTGCCCGCAGCAGTGTGTGCCCACAGAAAGGGGCCCGAGAGCAGGGACAAGCCGGAAGTCACTCGTGTGAAGGCCAGCAGGATAGGGCCCCAGCCATAGGGCAACCAGGCTACGTCCGGCGCCCGGAGCAGAGGCTGCAGCAGGGCCGGCCTCCCAGCTGTGCCGCGGCTTTGCGCAGGGCGGAGGGCAGGGCACGAGTCCTGGTGGGGAGGTCCTCGCCCTCCCTTGCTGCACGCCGTCCTTCGCTGGCAAACGTGTCTGCTGCCCCAGCCAGGGCAGTTTCTCATTTGACCTGTGGAGCCAGCCCTTGGGGCTGTTTGGTTTAAAATATGGTCTGGGGCAGATTCAGGGCCTGTGGGTCTCCCAGTAAAACCACTGAGTTCATCCCCTCCCACTGCACTGGGTGACGCCCAGTGTGACAGCCTGCAGGGCTCCCCGGGATGGTCGGAAGGTCACCTCCCGCTTTGGCGCTAAGCTCCCTGGGAGGGGTCACCCCGTGCAGCCTCAGCTGGCCCGTCTCCCCACCTTCTCCTCCCCAGGTCACCTTCACTGACATCAGCCTGACTGTGAGGGATCAGGAAGGGGCCACCGCCCTCCACTTCGCAGCTCGAGGCGGCCACATGCCCATTCTAGAGCGACTGCTGCTGCTGGGCGCCCCCATCGTGAGAGACTCCCGGGGCGGGAGCCCCCTGCATGACGCAGCGGAGAGTGGGTGGATGGAGGTACGGCGGCGCGGTGGGAGGCGGCGCGGGGGCCTCAGGGCCTCCAAGGGCCAGCAGAGCCATGCCAGGGGCGTGATGTCAGCCCCTTTGCTGTTATCCAGATAAATCCTGGGGGCTCACATGGGCCAGCCCCAGGGAAGCGACATCCAGAGACCCAGAATGGGCAGGGTGGAGTTTAGATACTTAAAGCCCAGCGTTGAGAATGGACCCACCCTCACCTGCACTGGAGCCATTTGCACACACAATGCAGAGGTTGTCCCCCCTCCCCCCTGTGCTCCCACCACCACACCAGTCCCACGGGCATGGGCTCCAGGGTGGGTCAGGTCATCCCAGGTGGCTGCAGGGCTTGCCCGGGCCATTCCCGCAGCCCCCAGGGCTGGGCCTGCACAGCGTGGAGCCGCCAGAACTGCTCCTCCCGCAGGCAAGGCTAGCCCAGAGGAGGCCTTCCCGAGGTGCACTGACCACGCCAGGGTGCCCCCAAATGCAGCCAAACTTGGGGCATTGGCCCAACACACAGTAGGCCAAATGCTGACACCCTCCTAAGCCAAGAAAATGGGTGCATCTACTACAGGGCACTGGTAAGGGGACAGGGCCCCAGTGTTCAAATTCCCAAACTCCCAGAGGGGTACAGCAAGGGCTTTTAAGGGCAAAATTATGGGTGAGGGTTACGGGGTGCGCAATCAGCTCACAATTCTGATGGGTTGGTGGCGAGGTACCAAGATTATTTCAGGAGTCTTAGCCCTCAGTCTTCTAGTTCCAACTGTCCGTGGCCTCCGTGAGGCCAGCAGATGGTCCGCATGATGGGGTGTGAGTTGCTGAAAATGCAGCTCAAGAGTACATGTGTTAGGAGTTAATCTGCACTTTTTGAGGGGGAACAAGGGTCCTGCGTTCTTTTATGCTAATTGAGTTCGCTTTCCTGTGTCATCACGACTCCGCTTTCCTGAAGCCTAACTGCCAGGGCTCATCAGCGGGCCACTGAGGGACTGAGACCCTGAGGGCCTTGGGGTCGGGCTTCTCTTTGGTTTGTTAATGAGAAGTCTGGGAGGCTTCTCTAAAAGGGGGCTACCTGTTTGGTTTCAAGGGGTCTGTGTTTCTGGATAGCTGTTCCCAGGGCTCCGTGGCCCAGTCTCACAGTTCCAGCCACATAGACACGGCACAGCCAGCAAGCGTCCTCGGGGGGCACTCGGGGAAGGAGGCAGAGAAGGCCCTGTCCCAGCTCGCAGCACTGCTGGGAATTCCCTCTGGAGTCCCGAGCCCCCCACTCAGCCCTGCCACCCTCCCCCGGCACCCTCCCTCTGCTTCATCCCCCGCCTGCCTGGAGAGGGGGAGGGGGAGCAGAGGCCGGGCCAGCGCACCCCTCGGCAGGCCTGAGAGGTGAGGAAGGCCTGCAGACACCCCTCATTTTGTCCTGCTACGTTAAAAAAGAATCTGAGAAGCAGGTGCAAGGATCCGGGGTTCCGGGGCCCAGGAAGGGCCTGAGCCGAGCTGGTGCAGGAGGCTCGGGGGCTCCATGATGGGGAAGGTGGCCCTGAGCAGTGGTTTACAAACTAATTTTTTTGAAGTGGTACAACCCCTTTTCAACGGAAGTATTCTACAGGAACCGGAGAAGTTAAACAGGGTGAGCCAGGAGTCAGCTGGCTCGGCACCATCCCTTCAATGAACGTGAAACAAGTCCAGCCTCAAAGCTGAGAACTGCGCTCCCTTCCAGCCGTTCTATCATGGGAATCCTAAGCCCGCAGGCTGTGCCTCATTGACCCGGCTCAGCCTTCACCTTCCCCAGCACCCCCTCAGCCTCACTCTGGGGTTTAAGAGCAAATCAGCCTTTATTTATCTGTATGCAGTGACACCTCCAAGAAATGAGGACATCTTTTCTTTTATCACAACCTCAAATCCTTGTAACACCTAAAAATAATCCACAACCATTTCTTTATAGCAGCTAATATCTGCCTCACACCCATTTCCCCGGTTACGCTGTAGTCGGATCTAAGCAAGGTCCACATGTCATTCATTTGTCTGTTGAATCTTTTAATCCATTAACAGCACCAGAAATATACTTCATCCAGGAAAGATAGGATAGTGCTTGATGGTTCCTCTTATTTTAAAATAAATTCTTATTTTAGAATAGTTTTAGATTTATAGAGGCATTGAGATGCTAGTACAGACAGTTTCATAAACTCATCCATTTCCCACTCTTGCTAGCAACTTACATTGTTAGCATGTACATTTGTCACAGTTAATGAACAAAATTTATACAGTATTACTGACCAAGGTCCGCACTTGATTCAGATTTCCTCAGTTTTCACTGTTGCCCTTTTTCTGTCCCGAAACCCCTACAGATGACACATCACTTCCTTAGACCCCCCTTGGCTGTGACAGTTTTCCCCCCTTTTTAAGAACAAAGCTCCACAATAATAAGCTGGTGCCCTACCGGCCTCCAAAAAGTGACAGTGACAGTTCCTTATGGTTTTTGTTTCACTGTATCACAGTCTTTATTCTTGAATGGTGTGAAATACACTTGTTTTTTTAACTGAAGTAAAGACCATGTCAGCCGTTTCTAAGCGCACATGCAGCCATGCCTTTATGCGCACCGCTCTGAGGCCACCGCCACCATCATGCCCTGAGCTACTCCACCTTGCAAAACAGACACTCACCCATTTAACACCTCCCTGCACCATCTCCCCCAGCCCTGGCAGCTACTTTCTACTTTCTGTTTCTATGAGTTTGAGCACTTGAGGGACAGCATATAGTTGGAATCATACAATATTATCTTTTTTGTGAGTGGCTTACTTCATTTAGCATAATATGCTCAAGTTTCACCCATGTTGTAGCAGGATTTCCCTTTTTTTTAAGGCTGAAGAGTATTCCTTTGTATGGATGCACCACATTATCATTATTTATTCACAATGGGCACCTGGCCGCTTCCACCTCTTGGCTGTTGTGAATAGTGCTGCAGTGTAATGGTTGTACAAATAGCTCTTCAAAGCCTTGCTTTCTACTCTAATTACTTTTTGAAAAGTTAAACCAACCTTGCATTCCCGGAGTAAATTCAACTTGGTCACAGTATACAGTTGACCCTTGAACAATGTAGGCATTAGGGACACTGACCCCCTGTGCAGTCGAAAATCCAAGTATACCTTTTGACTCCCCAAAAACTTCATCACTTAATCACAAATAGCCTACTGTTGACTGGAAGCCTAATAACATAAGCAGTCAACCAGCACATACTTTGTATGTTATGTGTATTATATACTGTATCCTTACAATAGAGTAAGCTAGAAAAAAAATCTTTTCAAATTGTTACAAATCTTCATAAAATTTTGTAATATACTTATTGAAAAAAATCTGCATATAAGTGGACCCATGCAGTTTAAACCTATGTTGTTTAAGGGTCCACTGTATTATCTCTTCATATTTAGTTTTCATTATATTTTATTTAGAGTTTTGGGTGTAGTGCACAGTTCTGGCAAAGTGGTTCCCAAACTTGTCTGCACACTGGAAATCTTCCGGCAGTTTTAAAATATTCTCATGCCCAGGCCCGACCCCTCCAGAATTCCAGCTTGATCCGTCTTCAGTGGCACCTGCATATCAGGGCTTTTTAAAACTCCCAGGTGATTCTAATACAGGCACTTCCAAGAAGTATCTATGTGAATAGCATTAGCTGAGCTGATCTAGAAGGAATTCACAGAGATGGTGATCCTTAAAGCAGGGATTTGGACGTGGGAAGGTGCAGAGTTTCCGGAGGGAGGGCCAGGAGCGGTCAGGTGGCTGGGACAGAGTGGCAGCTGGGGCTGGCGGCGGCAGGAGGCCCCAGTGGGAGCCCTGCAGCCTGTGACTAGTTTTGACACTGTGTACAGAGGCCTCCGGTAGCTGCCCTGGGATCTCGAGAGGAGACTATGGCTTCGTTGCCTTTGGAGGGGGGCACACCGAGGGAAGTCGCCAGAAGATGGGGTGCGTGTGATTGGGCTTTAACAATGAGATTGCAAAGGAAATGGCAGAAGACAGGCGTAAACCAGTTTCCTCAAGGTCCAGATAAGTGGTTATGACTGGTGGTAGTTCTCTACCTAACTTAAAATCGCTGCTTATTCAAGAAAGGACATTTACTGAGTATTTTAAGAGTTCCTAAAAAGGCATTCCGAGTGCAATGATGGCTGCCATCAAGCCTCCATGCCTGAAAGAGGCCTGGGAAAGCTGCAGTTAATTCGGCAGCGCCTTTAATGTTCAGCCGCTCACGTCCACGCTTTCCTTCATTCAGATACTCACTCATCCAACAGACAGTTACTGTGCACTTCTTAGGGTGCGGCCGCGGACGGGAACCTGCGTGGGTGTGGATGGGAGTGTGGTTCTCCATGCGGCAGTGCCCTGGCTTTGGAAATGTGGGTGCTGTTCTGGTTGTCACAGTGATGGGGGTACACCACGGTACAGCGGACACTCGGTGACCTGCTGTTCCCGGGCAGCCTCGCACCGGGGCGGCCGGTCTCCTGCCCCACACAGCTCCCCTGTGGCTCAGGCGTGCCTGTGACTAGAGAGCCTGTTGATGATGAGCTGAGCCTTGAACCCACCTCAAGCATGTATAATTGTCTAGGTTAGAACCTAACTCCAAGTGTCCATGTGCACACAGCCTAGTATGTCTTCATAGTTTCAGTACAAAGGACTCTCCAGGAATGGCCCCGCGCGCACATTGAGGGAAGATGGCATTTTGTCACCGTGTTACCTCCCGATGCGTTAGGAAGGTGACTTCTGTGTTGGTCCATTTTTCATGTAGCCCTTGGGGAGCAGATCGGGGAGAGGACCCACCCGAGCCCCCCGGCTCTCTGCCCCCGACGGGGTCCGCCTGCCCACCTGATTTTGCCTCTGGCCCAGCCACCTCAGGTTTCCAGACTCCAGTCTCAGGCATCGTACCTACGCACCTGCAGCTCACAAATCCCAGCAGAAATTGGGTCCCCATTCTGCGCCCAGTTTCTCTGTGTGAAAACAACACACGGCCCCCGAGGAGAGTTGCTGTAAAAATGGAAACCAGTTCTGTGTTTAAAGCCCAGGGCCTGGGCTACCAGGGCAAGGTCAGGTCAAGTTGCCCAGCCCAGATCCTGGCCATACTGCCTACTTAGCAGCGGAGCCACAGGGGCCTCAGGTGCCGTCCAGGACAGTGGATGCTGGGGCCCAGGGGGCTTGGTGCCATGCTGCCAGGACAGGGTGGCTCTTGGTGGCACTCAGGGATTCCATCCTGCAGCGAATGGTGGCAGGATTCTGGGCAAGGTCCTCTGTCTCAGTTTCCCACCTGTGAGGTGGGCTGGGAGTAAGCACCTGGGCATGACGCGTGCCCCCACAATCACACATCACCCCCCCCCGTAGTGCTGCCAGACCCTGGTCTCCCACCACGCGGACCCCTCCCTGCGGGATGAAGATGGTTACACCGCAGCCGACCTGGCAGAGTACCATGGACACCAGGACTGCGCTCAGTATCTTCGGGAGACATCCCGGCCGGTAAGCCTCATGGTCCCCGTCCACCTGGGGGGCCGTGGGGACAGGGCCGCCCGCTACCCTGATGGTCCAGTTAGCTCCCTGTGTGCACTATGTCTGCAGGAGAAAGGGCCTGGCTGTGACGGAGCCAGCGCCGTAGGCCAGAGGCCAGGCTCTGGAGCCGGGCCGTGGCTGGGGCCAGGGCCACGTCTGGGGCCAGGCCTGGCCTTGTGGCTGGGGGCTCCCACTGGCGGGTGTTGGCCCTGGGCCCGGGGCCCTGGAGGTGGGAGCAGGGCCTGTGTCCTTGGTGAGGTGACCCTGGTGAGCCGGGCCAGCCCTGAGGCATTCCAGAGGCAGCAGGTTCTAGGCCCTGCCCTTGGCGTGGACCTTGCCCGGCCTCGCCCCTCTCCACACCATGTTCCCATCTGTGAGGACAGGAACCTCCCCTGTCCTGCTGGCCCCGGCCCCCAGCACATGCAGGCCGCACCCAGAGTGCTGAGTGAACAGCGGAGCAGACAGCACTGAGCAACTGGACGGACGGGCAGGTGGACGGACAGACGGGTGCCCAGAAATCAGCAGCTTGGTCAGTGTGGGGCCAGGCTGCCCCTGGGCCTCCCGCCCACCCCCTTCCAGGGCAAGGAGTTACTGTGACAAATCAGGCCCAACCTCCACAGCATTTGTCCCAGTTATCTTTAGTGGCCGCCCCTTTGACGGGGTCCCTGGGGTCACCTGGCCCCATTTTCAGGCGTGAACCCTAAGGCCCACAGTGATGTGCCTGTGGGCGGGCTGGCACCACGGGGCTGCTGCACCTCCTCCTCCCTTGGGGGTGTCCAGGACCAACCAAGGCGGAGCTGCAGCCTCCCTGGCCCTGGGCCTGTGGGCAGCCCTCCCCACCCACTGAGACCCCCGTCACCACCACCCGAAACCCTTGCCCAGGCCTGCCACTTGGGCACTCAGTGTGCTGGTTTATCCCAGTGTCAGGGTTTCAGAAATGACAGCTACCGTTACTGCTGGAAGTAATTCATTTACTAAATTGCTTATTTACTAAATGTTCGATTGGTTATTTTGGTAAAAGGTTGTCTTTCTGGCTTGGGATTGAGAGGTTGGCGGAACTCAGTGGGTTCCTGGTGCAGTGGATGGAGCGCCACAGTCCACAGGCCAGGAATGCCCCAGCCACCTGCGTGCCTCCAGCCCTAGCGTGGTCTCTGGGCCGGCCTGGCAGCTGGGGGGAGCCGGTGGGTGGGCGGCTGCTCTGCGGCCAGGGACCAGGTCCTGCCTGGCCTTAGGCGGGGGCCCCTGGCCCGCGGTGCAAGCAGAGGCTGTGTCCCCGACCCTCTCTCCCCACACTCACCTGCCGGCCCCCCAACCGGCCACTCCGCCTGCCCAGCTCTCTTGGGGCCACAGGGCTTCTGGGTGCTCTCCTGACACCCCCAGGGCTGCAGGGAGCTGGCAGATCTCAGGTTTCCTGGGGTTCCTTCCTGTCCTGGCTGTCTCCTTTGTGCCCCCACAGGATTTAAGGTAGCATCCCCTTCACTCAGGATCCCCCAAACCAGTCTGGGCTGTCTGGGTGGCCCCCCACCCTGCCCCGCAGCCAGCAGTGCCCAGCCCACCCACACATCCTTGATTTTCAAGGCTTGTTGGAGCTTCCAGAGCCCGTTTGGGACTCAGGGTTCGGACCGCAGCCCGTCTTCTCCCTCACGGAGCACCCACGACAGCGGGGGGCGCCAGTCTCCCACTGTTGGCTGGACATGTGTCCTCTGCCCCCAGGACACCTGCCTCCCTGTTGCAGGGGACAGGCTGTCAGCTGTCAGCTACTGAGCTGGGGAAGGCCTAATGCATATTGATAGAAATGCAATATCCAGAGGCCATCTGCACTGCCCTGTTCCCGTGTCGGGCTCCTGAGGTGATGAAAGCCGTCAGTTTCCCCAGACATGGCAGCCTGCATCTGTCCCCAGGGAGGCGTGGGTGCCAAGAGAGGCAGCCTGGGAAGGACGCTGGGCCACTAGTGGTGAGAGCTGTCCTGAGGGAGGGGCCGCCTTCGTAGGCAGGTCTTTGGACTTGTTTATCCACTGCCCAGCATGGGCCCTGCACGCGGCACAGGAAGGCCAGGTCCTGCCTCGACCACTCCACCTCGACCTGGCCAGGTCTTTCCACACCCTGGCCACAGGCACCCCTCTGCACGGTGAGGGGTTAGGCACCTCTGAATTGGGTAGGACCTAGAGGGGTCCCTGCACCTCACCCCAGGCAGTGGACCCAGCAGCTGGGTTCCTGGCTGTGGGGCCAGGCTTGAGTGAGTCCTGGTCAGGCAGCCACAGTCAGGGAGAGCAGCCCAGTGTGACGGGTGTAGTCCTGTAAGCCGGGGAAGGCCGAGCCGCTTGGAGTCAGCCACAGGGTTGGGCTGCCCCACTGCCTCCACCCTGTGCTTATGCCCACCATGGTGGGAGTGGCCCTTCCTGGCCAGGTAGCACTGGCAGGCTCTCAGCATGTCAGTTTTCTCATCTTTAAAATGGGATTGAATAGCTCTGCTGAGTGTAAAGGAGACACGCACTGGGCACACAGCAGGCGCTAAGCCCCTGCAGGCCCAGAAGGGCTCTAGGACTCCTGTTCACAGATGAAGAGACGGAGGCTCAGGCAGGGCAGGAGAGTCCCTGGGCCACTGCCTCCTCCATGTAGCCAGTAACTGAATCTCAGCCATGGTGACTGGTGTCCGGCGCTCATCTGTGGGTCACGATTTTCTTGACCCCGGATGGCATTACCGTCCTGTAACCCAGCTCAGCCCTGCCTGTCTTTGATGCATAATGCATGGCAGGAGCAGCTCTGCTCAAATCTCACCAAAAATACAGGAAGAGAGACTGCAGGCCACGGGAAGGGTGCCAGCCCAAGGCCTGCTGACCACCGGCGTTGGGGCAACTGCCCAGTTTGGGGACAGCACCTGCCCAACTGTCGGGACCCCACACAGGTTGGGAGCTGATACCTGCCTCTCCTTCGGGTGTTTGTAGATTCAGGTAGTGTCTGGGGCCTTATGTGGGACTCAGGGACCAGGATGTTCCCATCCCCTGGGAGGGGCTGCAGTCAACCCCTGTCCTGGGTACAATTCAGAACGATTGTGACACCATGGCAACAACTGTGTTGAGGCCTGAGTCCCACTGCGCCAGGCCCAGCTTCCCAGCAAGGGCTGCATTCTTCCTGACTTCTGGGGCTTCTCCCAGGTGAGAGGTGGGGTAGGACTCAGCCCCAGGGCCCAGGAGGGTTGCAGGAGGTTCCCCCGGCTGTACTGGGACCAAAGTCCGTTCGCCTGCGCCCCAGATCCCTACATGAAGGGGCTGCTGTCACCCCAGCTGAGCCCTGCACTCTGGGGGGAAGGCAGTTCTTGCCCCTCACCCCTGAGAGCAGATTCAGCCAGGGGAGGGGCTGAGGGCTCCCAGGCAGGGGCAGGGCGCAGGGGGACACCATCATGGCTGGGCAGGGGCCCAGCGGGGCTCAGCCCCCGTCTGTCCATCAGACCATCAGTGCCAGCTTCTCTAGTCATGCCTGGTCCAACTGGGCCCTGCTTAAAGCTTGCAAGCCAGCCTATGCCTGCCTTGTGGCCCTGGAATAAAATAAGACACCAATCCCCTGGGAGGACACACTCAGCAGAGAGCGAGCATATCATGTTTTGTTGGGTCCCCGTGCCCCCAGGTCCCAGGGTGACGTGATTTGGGCCGAGACGGCTGCTGTGCACACAGGAGCCCCTGGGGAACCCCTGGTTCAGAGTGAGTGGTGAGCAGCTTGCTCGTCCCTCTGGACCCCTCTGTGCAGATGCAGCCCTGAGGAGCGCCAGGTAAGGAGCAGCCAGGGCCCTGCGTCCTTGGAAGGACCGAGAGGCAACCTCCCCTGGGCCTCCCTGCCCGAGGCCCACCCACCTGCCCCTTCTCCCACTGCTGGTGTCCCTGAACCAGAGGAGCAGTGATTTGAGGGGCTTCCCATCCCAGCAGGAGCAAGGACTGGGGTCTCACGTAAGATTCTGGCCCCAACTCTGCCACATCCCACCTGTGGGGTCCTGGAAAAGCCCCTTGCCCTCTCTGTGCCCTGGGGGCTGTACTGGGGGTGAAGGTATTGTTCTGGGGGATTCCTCTGGGTGGTCTCTCCCTCTCACATGACCCAAGGATCTCAGGTCCCCCCCACCTCTGTGGCCCCTGCTCTGGGAGGGTTAAGTTGCTGAGGTGAGGGACCCCAAGCCCGCCTGGCCACCCGACACCTGGGCCTTCAATATTAATGCGTCTCCTGGCTTCCAGGGGTGGCAGACAGCCCTGACGGGCGGGACGGACACAGCTCCCTCCGCTCCCCACCCGGCCCCTGCCACCTTGCGTCCTCCAGGCTGGGAGGGCCAGTGGCTGCTCCCTCATCTGCCAGGTGCCTGGGCTCCTGGGTCCTCAGCCCGGATTCCTGGAAGGAGTGACGTGTGACGGGCATGGCGCTAGGCAGATGGGGTCCAGGCTCTGCTCATTTCCAGTGACCACAGTGGGCTGGGATCCCGGGTGGGAGTCCCACTGAGGGCCTGAGCTGGTGGGTACAGACCCAGGGCTCCCCTGAGGGAACCCCCAGACCCACCCTCAGGTCTGCACCCCCTGGACTAGGCCCCCCTTACTGATGAGCAGGGGACACAGAGTGGCCAAGGGTCTGCCCAGCAGGACCAGCTACATCACGCACAGGGCCCAGAGCAAAATGAAAATTCAGGCTTTCTGTTCAAAATGATTAAGAATCTCAAGACAGAAGCAGAGCATTTAACCAAGCTGCAGCACTGGGCCCCGCACTCCTGGCTGGCCCCAGCTCCCGGCCGACGTCCACACAGGGCTGGCAGGTGCTTGTCCTGCTCAGGCCACCTCCAGCACCACTGCGGGGGCACTATGGCCTCCGGTGCCCACTGGAGGGGAGGGCAGCGTGAGGAGCTTAGGTTGATGGCCAGGGTGGGGTGCTCAGAGGGAGTGAAGCCTGACACCCTACTGGCTGGTACACAAGCTGGGCAGCCTGGAGCCCAGGCATCTGCCGTCTGGGAGGCAGGGGGAAGCCTGCCTTCAGCTTTCAGCTTTGAACCAGCAGCAAGCCCAGCTCCGGGGTCCTGGGAGGACATTTCTCTACTGCCTGAGGAGGGCCCTGCAGGCACGGAGCCAAGCACAGCCCTGGTGCTGGCCACACCCGTGGTGCCACGGTGGTCTGCATACCTCGTGTCTCCCGCCTGGCCCGGCTCGTGAGCCCAGGAACTGGCCAGAACAGGGGTCTTGGCTCCCGTTGGTCAAATGCAAAAGTCTGAGCAGGGCTGAGCTCGGGGGACAGCTCTAGGTCAAGGGCTCTTTCTGGCTGTCCATGTGTCAGCAGCTGAAGGTGGCCAAGCCCTGGAGCAGGGTGTGGAGATGAGACTAGGGTGACCCTGTAGTCCAGGCATGGATTTCCCCAACACCAGGTTTCTGGGGACAGTCTTGGTTGTCTCTGTTTCCAGGTGGCCCTGGGGATGGTGGCCTGGACACTACATGATGGGTCCTGGGCATAGTGCCACCACTTTGAGGTGTGGCCATAGCCAACGGGCCTCTGCTCCTGGGGCTGAGAAGGGTTCCGAGTTCACGGTGGTTTTCCCTGGGCCCAGAGGCTGGGGCTCTCCTCCCAGAGATGTGGCGGTTCCAGACCGTTTGTTTCAGCACAGAAGCCAGGGGCCATCAGGGAGGGCGCGTGTGTGCATGTGTGTGTGTGTATGCGTGTGCAGACGGGTGTGTGTGCGCATCCCTTGTAAGGCTGGAAAGAGGTGACCCCAAGCTAACACTGGGCCCTAACCCAGCGCCCGGAGCTGTTAAGGTGTCTCCAGCAAGGCCTTGAGATGGGGATTCACCCAGTGGTGGTGGTGTGGTGTGGTACAGCGACTGATGGCGCTCAGAGAGTACACGGGGGTAATTGGGGCGCTCCGGTCAGCAGGCGGGGAGCGAGTGGAGAAACATGGGGGACAGAACCTTGAGGGGTATTACTCTTCCCTCCTGCACACTTAACCTTCTCCAAGCCCTGTTCCGAAATGCACAGCCCCCCAGGGAGACCAGGCGAGGGCTAGCCCTCTGCGTGCCCCCACCCCAACCTGGCAGTGCCGGCAGCCCAAATCAGGGCCTGCCGGGGCCTTCTCCTGACCGGGCCTGTCCACCTCCAGGTGCTGCTTCTGATGACGCCCCCGCCCCCACCGTTTCCACCTCCCCCACTGTCCGCTGTGAGGCCCTCCCTGGAGGCAAGGAGGGGTGACCCATGTCCCAGGAGCCCCACCCGTGAGTACAGGTGTCCAGGGGGGACTGGCCTGGGCACGGGGGCTGGAGCAGGCGCTGCTGGCTCTGAGGCCCTTCGGGAGTGAGAGCAGCTCACTCCAGGCCGCTGGCACACAGGACGTCAGGACAGGCGTGGGGTCGGCTCTCCCGTCACCCAAGCCTCCGGCTTCTTCCTGGTTTCCTTCGTTGTTTCTGTTGCTTTAAAGTGAGGATCCATGTTCTCCGTAAAGGGCACTTGCAATCCCAGCTACACGCCTCCTGCCCAGGCTCCGGCCCCCAGCGAGCTCTGAGCCCCAGGGTCTCCCCAGCCATGGTGGGCGGCCTCGTCCTCTCAGGCCTCAGCTCATCTGGAAGTGAATCGAAGCCCAGGCAGGATGCCCAGGCCCCTTCCGAGCCTGCTGCTGTGGTCTGAGACTCCAGCTGGTCAGGCATCCTTGGCTCGCAGGGACGGGGGATGGTCCTCAACCTGCAGGTCACTACCCGCTAGGGGACTGTCACCAGCACTTATCGAAGTGAAAGGGAAGAGCATTAATACTGTCAGCAGGCCCCACATGGATGAGGGTGGGCCTGCTTCACGGATGGCTTGTGGGTACCTGGTCCCACACAGGACCGTGTGTGAGGTGCAGACTCGCCCGGGAGTGGCCCTGTGGTGCGCGTGAGCCGAGGGAGGGGTGGGCTGATGGCGCGGCCCTGGGTCCCGTGCCCTTCCTTGCCCCTTCCAGGCTGCCCTGGGATGGGATGAGGGGTATGTGCAGGCTCTGCAGCCAGCCAGGCTTGGGGTGGGCCCCGGGAGTGTGCCCAGACCCCAGGGCACTCTGGGAGGCTGGTGGGTCTGTGGCCCTGAGTCCAGTGGTCCCCCAGGAAGGCCGGTTCTGCCCAGGCCCAGGGTCTCCCCTCCCCGCGCGGCCCTCTCTGGCAGCCTCTCTGACTCCAGCTCCCCTCGGCCAGCAGCAGCATGCCTCAGTCCAGCCCAGCCCAGCCGACCTCTTCCCGGGGAGCAGATGACCTGCGACGTCCTTCCGAGGGCCGCCGCCAGTGCCATGGCCGTCCCCACGGTGCGCCCCCTCCTCCACAGCCCTGTCTCCCACGGTCCCCCAGATGGCCTCTCACCGTGCCTTCCTACGTGGGCCTGGCCAGGTCACTTCTGGGGCAGCCAGGCCCGCCCTTGCAGGGAGATGCCAGACCAGCACCTGGGGTGACTGGCTCACTCTGGAGGGTGCCCCTGGTATCCCATGAGATGGGAATGTCAGGGCCATAATCAGCTTATCGCCCCAACATACAAGTGGGCTCTTCTCAGATCCCAAGGAGCACCTCACCTTGACCTCTGAACCCAGGGATGCTTTGTGCCCCTCTCAGGCACTGCTGCATACAGACCAGCAGGTGTTCCCGGGGAGGGTAGGCCTGGACCTGCTGCCCTCCTCCTTGAAGGCTCCCGTCCGGCCCGGGACCTGCTCCTGTTTCTCCTCTTTCTGGGCACATCCCTTACAAACCCAGCCTGCCCTTTCCTTGAGATAGTCCTGGGAACTTACAGTCGCTAAGATGTTCGGCACGAGTTTGGGAAATGCTGCAAGCGCTGCCCCTCTTGGGGAGTTGCAGTGTACATAGCACATTAAAGGCTCTGACAAGTCCCGCAGTCCAGGACTGGCCACCGGGCTTTGCCTGTTCCCCCAAGGAGTTTGCCCGTTCCACGTGGCAACTCTGGCCATCTCTTCTCAGCCACACAGAGTAAAAGGAATCTCTGGTTGCCTCTCTAAGCCAGAGATTCCCCCTCTCACACAGGGGGTCCCTGCCCCCACAGGCTCACACTCAGGAAGCTGGGGCTGCTGTCTGTGGTCTCCCCTACTCCCTGGCCTGCCCCTCCTCCCCTCTGATCCCAGGCAGGGTCTCCTCGGGGCCTGAGTGACCAGTCTGCATCCGCACAGGGGCCGGAGTCAGCAGAGGGGCACTCAGATGGCCTGGCCATGCTGCACCTGGACGGGCCGCCCTCAGACCTGGACAGGCTGGTGCCCACACGGGACGAGAGCGGCCAGCCCATCCCCGAGTGGAAGCGGCAGGTGATGGTGCGGAAGTTGCAGGCACGCCTGGGCACAGACACAGTGCCTGAGGCCCAGGTGAGGCCCGAAGGGAGGGCGGTGCGGGGAGTGACCAGGAGGCGTGTGACCTGTGAAGAGAACGGCCCATGAGGGGCAGGGTGGGACCAGGTGGTAGAGGGCAGAGAGGGGGGGCAGGTGGACATGGATGGTGGGGGCCCTGAGCCCACACCTCGAGTCTCGAGACCCCGGTAGCCCGCTGCCTGCCCCTCTGTGGCCTCACCTTCCTCTTCTGCCAGTGAAGCCAAGCCAGCTCAGAGGGCTGCAAGCAGTGCACCTCACCCACGTTAGAGGTGCGATTCCCACCTGCTCTTTTATCCGACAATTTGTGTCCCAGCCTACCTGCCAAGCCCTGCCCTGGCAGTGAGGGCACCAGCCCTGTTCTCCGTGGGCTTATGTTGCAGCAGGTCTGGGCAACTGCCGTGGCTGCGTGGGGTTGGAGGGGTGATCTGCTCGGAGGGCGGCTGCTCTGAGCCTCAGGACTGGGACTGGCCAGCCACTGCATTTACATTTATTCTCTAAGCCCAGGCCAATGCCTGCTCGTGCCCAGGGGCTGGGCTGGCGTCCCTGGGGGCTCCTGAGGCCAGGCCACCACGGAGAGCTTGTATCAAGCGGGAACACGCCCTCTCCCTGCTGGGACGCAGTGTGGGCCTCGGCCCCACTGACCTGCCCTCCCTGTACCCAGGACAGCGGTGGGAGCTTGGGCCCCACAGTGCAGGCGGCCTGGCGGTACTCACAGACCCACCAGGCCATCCTGGGCCCCTTTGGGGAGCTGCTGACTGAGGATGACCTGGCACACCTGGAGCAGCAGATTGCTGACCTGCAGCTGCGACACCGCTGCCTGGAGTACGAGAGCCAGCCGGACAGGCCGGCAGCCAAGCTGCAGGCCCAGCTGCCTGCACCACCGGTCAGCGTCATTGTCAACAGCCGCTTCCCTCCCCGGGCACCCCAGCTGCAGGGTGAGGAGGCCCTGACCCTGGCAGCCGAGGGGGCCATGCCCACTGGGCAGCCCCTGCCCTTCTGGTGCAGCCACGTGGCCTGGCTGGTCCGCAGCATGTCCCTGCTGCTGAAGGGCATGGACGGGCTGGTGCAGGGCCAGGAGAAGCCAGCTGCCCTGCCCCACCAGGAGCTCTGCAGGGAGACCCCAGCCAGGTCCCCACGGACCACTGCCCAGTGTGAGATCCAGCGGTGTGGGGTGTCCGTGCGGAGGTTACGTGGCAACTTCGAGTCAGCTCCAGGCCTGTCCTGCAGCACAAACCCAGGCCCCGGTGAGGCGGGGGCCCAGCACGAGCAATGCCCAGGACCCTGCTGGCCGGCACCTGCGCAGCCCCACAGCCTGATTGGACGGGAGCCTGGGCCTGGCGACTCCGGCTTCAGCTGCGAGGGGGTCCCGTCCGAGGTGGGTGCCATGCCCTGCCCTGCCCTGGCCAGCGGGCGCAAGGAGCGCATCATCATGCTGTTCCTCAGCCACTGGAAGAAGTCGGCCTACGCACCAGCCCTCAAGACAGCAGCCTACAGGACCCTGGAGGCCCGTGGCACTGGGCCACCGGCACAGGAGGTGGCCAGCGGTCCTCCACTGCCCTCCCTGCCACCCAGCGAGGGCCCCCGGCTCGGCCACCTGTGGCGACAGCGGAGCGTCATCACCCACCTGCTGGGCAACTGGAAGGGCATCATGGAGCATGTGCCGGCCCAGCAGCTGCGCAGGCTGAGCAGGCGGCCCCGGGGGCTGCTGTCCCCAGAGCAGTTCCTGCCCCATGTGGATGGGGCACCCGTGCCCTACAGCAGCCTCACGCTGGACCTCTTCATGCTGGGCTACTTCCAGCTCCTGGAGTGCGACCTGCCCCCCGAGGAGCGCACCATGCGCCACCTGCTCTGCTTCGAGGTCTTCGAGCACCTGGGTGCCCATGGCTGGGAGGCGGCGCGTGCCTTCCACAAGGCCGTGACCGACGAGGTGGCCACTGGCCGCCGTGCCTGGACCGATGGTTTCGAAGACATCAAAGCCCAATTCTTCAGCTCCGGTCATAGTCCCGCCTGGGGTACAGAGCCCAGCTGCACGTCAGGCCTGACTCGCCTCCAGCCCTTGCCCCACGTTGCCGTCCCCAGCGTCGGCCCTGAGCCTGCAGCACTGCGGCTGGGGTCCAGCTCCCGGCGGGGCAGCTTCAACAGCGAGGACATCTGTGGCTACATCGACCGGAGCTTCACGTTCTGGAAGGAGAAAGAGGCCGAAATGTTCAGCTGTGGAGAGTGAGACGGACTGGCGGCCTGCCTCCCTGAGCGGGGTTTTGCAGGGTGGTTCTGTTTTTCTCTCCGTTTCCTTTTTCACCCACCTGGTGGCCAGGTGAGCCCCAAAGCCAGGCCAGCCAATACTCACGTGCTAGTTGCCACCCCCCAGCTCTGCCCTGCGGCGGAGGTTCCCCCTCAGCTGAGGGGCTTGGCTTCAGAAACCCTTCTCACCGCTGAACCCAAGAAGCCCTCTGTCTCCTGATCATCTCTGAAGTTAGAAGACTTGTGGTCCCAGCCCCAGATCTTCTGCCGGTTCATCCCTGGGCACCTGGATGCCAGGGCTATGTCCCGTGGGCCCTCCTTCTAGTGGCCTGCGTGGCCTGTCCCTCAGTGCCTCCCGTGCTGGTGACCCTGGCCACACCCAGAGCCTCCATCTGCCCTCCATGGTCCTGGCTCGGCTTTCCCGGTGACCTTGGGCCACGCCCTCTCACCGGGCCAGGCCTCTTTCCCACCTGAATGGGAGAAGAGCTGGGGGACACGGAAAGAATGGGACTCCGTGGGCCGGAGGCCTTCCCTTGGACTGAACTGCCCTCCCCGATTCTCAAGCCAGGAGACGGCCCCCCCGACGCGCGTGCCGGCCGCACTCAGCCACCCGCCAACTGATGAGCTCCGCTGCCAGCCACGCCAGCATCCCCCCAGCACGCTCCAGAGGCTCTGGGCCCCAAAAGGCAGGCTCCCTGGGGGGCTCCTGTCTCCAGCTGACCACAGGCGCACAACCCAAGGCAGCGGCAGGGCACCCCCTGCGGCCCTTGAGAGCCGGGACATCAGGAACTTCTTCAAGAGAAGCAGAGGCTGAAGGGCTCTGAGCAGGGGCACCGATGCCCGCCCTCAGAGGTGAGCGGCAGGCCTGGAGGGGACACACAGCTGGGAGGCGATGAGACACAGCCACTCCCCGTGGTCCCCCGGTTGGCACCCCCACCCTTCTCCACGAGGGACAAAGGAAAGGTGGACGTGCCCTCAGAGGGCCTCCAAGGCCGCAGGGCGTAACAGTCGCTGGACAAAGCCCCGCACGTCTGGCCATGGGATGTGACTCGTCCCCGGGTACATCCCTGGCAGCCAGGAGAATGACCCACCAGCCCACACCTGTGGGGCCGACAAGGGCTCCCCCAGAGTCCTTTAGGGAGAGAGCCCTGTGGCCAGGCGACTGCCTCAACAGGCTGGGTGGTGGGGGTTTCAGGAACCTTCCCCTGGCTGCTGCCTCCCTGCAGCCCGGCCCCCCTTGGGACAGGGTCCCCCGCAGTGTCCCCACCCCACTGCAGAGCTTGGAGAGCGCCGGCGAGTTGTTGCGTGAAACACAGAGCCCTCCCAGCCGGCTGACTTGGGGTCCCACGGTGGGGGCGCTCTCGGGGAGAGGAAGTGGACGTGTCAGGGAGTGGGGCGGCCAGGACAGGGAAGGAGGAGGCGTGGCCCGGGCTCCAGACCCTCCGAGCTGGATGTGAGTTTGCTAAATAAAGGCTCCCATTCCTGGCTGGCTTCTGCTGTGGTGCTTGCCACCCCAGAGAGGGTCCCAGCCCTCAGTGGGGACCCGAGTCCTCATCTCAGCTCCACCGAAACACCTGCGGCAGCATCCTCAGCCCCACAGAGCCCCCGCCTCCTCAGTGGCAAAATGGGGTGCAGTGCCGACCTGCCCGATCCCAGGGTCACGGTGGGGTGGGCTGAGGTCCTGTATGAGACGGGTCTCTGCCTGGGACGCCAGCGCCACCAGCCTGTGTTTCAAGGAGCAGGTTCTAAAGAGCAGGATGCTGACTCTGGGCACCTGTGAGCATCTCACACGCTGTTGCCTGGTCAGCGAGGCCCCAGCTCTTTGCCCCCAAACATGACCAGTGAAACTGGGCGAGGGCTGGTCACAGGCTGGCAGTGGGGAGCCCTCGGGAGGAGTGTGTTGGAAGGTGTTGGGGGCTCTGATGTCCATGCTCGCCCCCGTCCCCTGCCCCCTCTGTTGCCAAGCCCTTGGAACCACACTGCCGTGCAGGTGACACATGAGGAGGGAGGGAGACAACAGAAAACATATCATAATTACAGAGCCATCATCCATCAAACAAGGTGGTTTTGACCCTAAATATGGTCACCCACTGAAACAGGCCAGCACAGAGAAAGCGGAGACACTCCACCAGGAAGCTGCCCTGAGATCAAGGGCCACAGCGGGTCCCTGGGGAAACAGGGATTTTTAGAAACAGTGTATTTTTAAAACTGTTCCACCAGTTACGTCACTGGGAGCATCAGTGAGTTCTGGTGACAGGGAAATGGAAATATGACTAGATGGCACCCTGTGCCCAAAACAGACCCCAGAGATAAGAGATGAGGTGGGTGAGCCCAGTTGTGCCGGGCCGGCCCGCATGGAGCTGCCGGGCTGGGAGTCAGGGCAGCCTTACCTCCACGCCCCACTGCCCCGAGCTGGACCACCAGCGGCCATGTGTGGAGCTGGAAGGCGGGCACACACCTTGCTGTGGTGATGCCACCCTCTGCATTGCAGAGGGGACACCGTGTCAGTTATCATAGTCCAACAGCACACAACCGAATGTCCATTAATAGAAGGGACTGATGTCATTTCCAGCTTCTTAAACTGTGACATCCCCATCATGGGGAAATGTGAAATCACATTTTCAAAGACAAATCACGTAAGAAATGCTGCCGCTGTAAGTATCAAGTAATAAAACAGGACCCAAAACAGCCAGTAGCCCTTCCAGCGTGGAGACCGGTAAGACACAGGGAGTGTTCACAGGCATGGCCTCTGTACGGGCTAAATTTTCTGCTTTATATTTTTCTGTGCTTCCCAAATGTTCCACAACAAGTATGTGTTATTTTTATCATAACAACAAAAAACAACAACCAAACAGCGTATTTTTAACGACCGCTCTGCTCAGTAGCAGTCTGACGATGAGGATCTGTTTTGAGCCCCTGGTATTGAGTGTCCCAAACTGACCTGTCATTCGAGGTGCTGGGCTCCTATCCCCACATCCAGGCAAGGCCTCCATTCTTGGCACACAGCGCTGTGCCCATGCGGGCAGCTCCCGGTGACAGTGGCCTGCCATCGGAATCCCCTGTCCTCTTCCTCTAGCCTGAGCCAGGGGCACATTGACTCTTCACGTTCTGCCAGCAAAGGGAGGCAAGTCCGTTGTCTCTGTTCCGCCTCCAGCGCCCTCCCCTGGACGGTCCTGGACACAGTGGGAGCCGGGGACACTCTTAAGGGTCTCTTCACCAACATGGGACTGATGCCCAAGGCGGAGGGAGGGGCTGTGCAGGGTGGGTGTGGGGGAATCAGGCAGGTGAGCCAGGCAGGGAAGCACCTTGTAGCCCAGGAATTAACTCATCAGTCATGGCAGTAA